CCTGGGCTCTGGTTAAAACGGTCACAAGAACATGTTAAGTGCTGCCCACATTCAGATGACATCTTTCTCCATTTGCATATTTTAATTAATAATAATGAACAGACAATATGGCATGGTGTAATTGGAAGCAGGCTGTTGTTGACTAATGACAAAAAAACTAATTTGGAGGCAATATTGTTTACTAAAAGGATTCATAGCCGTCATAGCGTTAGGAGATTGAGAAAGGAGTATTGAAGACAGAAAGAGAGGGGCTTTTGTAATGTAACGTTTGTAATGTTTATTTATATAGCACATTTTACAGACCAAGGTTACCCAAAGCGCTTTACAATGTTCAGAGTTCAGATATTGTTCCAATTAGGGATGTAAATCGGTGACCGTTTAACCGGTGGTTGACCGTCACAGCGTTAACCGGTCAAAGCTGTCGGTTAAAAAAGAGAAAAGGGGGAGAGGGGAGGTCTCTTCATAACGCTATTTTAAGCCCTATTTGCACGGTGTGACGAGCGGGTCCGTATGTGTGCGCCAATGTAACGGTAAACTCCGGGCCGACCCTCACGCCGTACGCGCTACATATGCACGCACACATATTTTCCCCCCCTCGTAACACGTAACATCCACACGCATCATCTCTCCCCTCTGTTACCGCCTGCTAGTTGCACACTGGTGCGGGTCAGAACTACATTGGAGCTTATATTTACACACACATACATACATGTATTGCACAAACACACATAGCTTACATATACACACACACAGACATATACACACATACATACATGTATTGTACACACACACACACACATACCGGTCTGTCGCGCTCCTCTGTGTCACGGAGCCCAAAGCATTCTTGCAAATACACGGCTCCAGTCAAACCACATGGACCATGTTTGTGCTGCTGGTCCTTGGCATCAGCTCCACACTGATCACTTTTAAACTTTAGCGGAGACCTGCGAGACGCGGCTCGTCACTCGCTGCCCTGACCATGTGGACGAGCGGTCTTTTTCTTAAAAATGCTTTAAGCCGCAGCACAGAAGAATGGGAAGATTAAAGCAGTTCTCTGTGCGCAAAGGTGCCGAAGCTGTTGCGGGTTTTGGCGCCGCTGTCTCGGCTCTGATCCCGTATAACGCAGAGCTGCACTTATGAAAAGTACGCGGCTCGAAATGGCTGTTATTTCAAAGAACGTGGACTATTTTAAACTACGCGGTTAACCGGTTTCAACCGGTTAATGAGGCTCGGTGGTCGGTCATGAAAATTCATAGTTTTTTACATCCCTAGTTCCAATCATTCCACACACGGTGATGAGGGATTTTTAGCAACAAAAAGAGTGAACAATGCAATGGCAACTGTATTTCATTTTTAGGAAATGGATAATGATACTGTATAGTTAATACCGTTATTCCCCTTTGCTTAGGATAGTAAGTAAGTCATCGTTATTTGTAGAGCCTGTCACAGACCATCTTGTTGTGAAGCACAAGCACTAACCAGTGGGCCACCGTACCAACCCATTTGAAGTAATTGAATCCAGTTAGAAACTTGTATGGGTAAGCATGAGTGTAAGCAGTTCGAAGCTTTGAAAATATGTTTCTCTCTCTTCACAATCTGGAAAGCATCTGACAGTCACTTTAAAGCTCGGGCACATCTGTGTGACACTAGTTCCTATTTTCAGCCTTTGTCACCTCTGTAGATCAGCTTTTTCAGACAGAAAAGGGAAGAAGAGAGGACCACTCAATTATCTCTCAGACCAAAGTGTAAAATAGTGACTGTCTGGACTCTTTACGCAAGTATGCAAAAGAAAGAATGTTTTCTAAAAAGATGAAGACGTTTTATGTGGGGACAACAACATTTATTCTTTATGAAGAAGAAAAACGTTGGGTACCCCAGCTTTAACATAGAATTGCATCTGGGTGCGTTGGCAGGTAACTTAATCAACGGGTGTTTTATCGTGTTAGATAATTTAAACATAAACAACATTTTAATTTTGATGCAGATCTTTCCAATAAAAATGTCTCTGACTCAAGGTGACCATTGACTCTTATGAATGAAAACTCTACTCTAGTTACACTTTGATCTTTTATTTTAACACGATCTGACCATAGATGTTTGCTGTGTTTTCTATTGCCTCTGAAAAAAACAAATGTTGCTGATAAACACAACATTTTAACAGTTGGATCCTTTATGAGTTTGCCCTTAGGTTAAGATGACTCACACTTTGTACAGTATGTGCCAACTTCTCTTTCCCTCCAGAACTTTTCGTTTTAAAACATGCTGCAGATTCGTCTTTATTTCAAAACGGTTTGTTGATCATAAATTAATCTGAGTTGTGAGTAAGCTGGAATTGGCTCATGTTGTGACTTATCGTGTGTTTTTGTGTAACTGTGTTTTCTTTGTGTACAGATGCTATGATAGGACAGAAAACACATGATTGAGAGCAGATAGAAGAGCTGTTATAACTTATTTGATTCTTTTTGTAGCTGATATCACTTTTTTTTTAGATTCTGCTTATTTTTATTTACTGGAATTTCCAGTCTATAAGCCATTACTTTTTTTTAGTTCTTTGAACCCTGCAGCTTCTATAGTGATTTAGCTATGACGTGTGTATTTTGGACTGTGATAGAGTTGTCAGAGCAGAGTTTATTGACTTGTTTTAATTCCATCAAGTTTAGTAGATAGGACACTCATTTATTGTCAAGGCTTTTATGTGACTTTGTGTGTCATAGCTGGTGCAGCTTATATTCCAATATTTACATACATTTTCTTTTTGTGATATATAAAGAAAAAAATATCTGTTTTGTTGAGCCACAAACAAGCTGTTTATATTGAAAGTAAACGTCTACCTCGGAGGAAGCGTATTATTTATAATGTAAAAGCAAGATCAAATGGGACCCTCCCATAACTACATTTAAATAAGATTTAAAAATTGATATTTTCCCTGTCATTATACAGGGGAAACCTGAAAAATACTATGATATAGACTCATTAAATAAACATATGGCAAGCTTTTGTTTATTATAGTTTTTTTGTGACTATGATTTAAAGTCCCTTTTCAAAATATTCAAATGTTCTTAGATTGTATTTGTTTTGTTGTGAGCCAAATATAAACATTATAGTAATGGCTTGATATATCTCACTTTGCGCGGACGTCTGTAATGTATTAGTTTCATATTGTTAGTCAAATTATCTGCTGTTCTTTAAATTATATTTCTGTATTAAAGAAATATTTTATTTTTTACTTAATAATAATAATAATTTAAGTTAATAAAATGGTCTGATTAATCAATCAGTTTGTTTCAACATATTATTGACTACAGCTTGGGTATAAGATATGGTGGACCAGTGGTAGAAATGGTCTTGAAGAAAATCCCCCGAGTCTGTTTCCCATATCAGGAAAAAGCTAAAGACGAGTGTATTTTCTTGGAAATCTTGGATTATGACGTGAAACCATGTGCTCTGCCTGTGACATAAACTCATTGTTATTCACTTTTCCTTGCTGTTCATTTGGGGCTCTTGCACACTCTCTGGTGGAGAAAACTTGAACTACATACTGGAAGTATGAACAAGGCATTAGGCCGTTTATTTGAGCCAAAATGTTTTCCGTATTTTACGATGTAGAATTGACTGAAATATGACCTATCTAAAAAAATATCCTGTTAAATTAGAAGAAGTGAAAAGTTTTTTTTAATGAACATTAAAACTGTTTTATGGCACTGTAAAACATATAGAAAATGTTGAGGCTTTTTTGAGATTTTTTAAAAATGTATTATAAATAAAATTCCAAAACAATTAAATTTTTATTCATCGGTCTGGCAGAATACTAAAACCTGTTCGTGCCAACTTGTTTAAAAAACTCAATATAATGTGTTTGAAGTCATGCCGGGGCAAGCGAATACCCTGGATGACGAATACCCTCCAAATGTCTGAAGGTGATCTCTGTAGCAGATCACACGCAGATATGAAGTGGCACTTAATTACAAAGTCTTGTTTGTAATGCTGAAGGAATGCACTAAAACTGTGGACAGGACCAGCCCACCCCCGGTCACCCTCAGGTGGGCTCCAGTTCGGGGCTCAGAGCAGCACTCTGTCCATCATTATGAGGGTGCTGTTAAAGCTGCGGTAGCTCACCACCCAAAAAAAAAAATATATTGTTATAAAACTCATCTCACCAGATCCTCGCTCCAAAACTGTTTGGTTCTATCCCAACTTTTCGCAGGCATGTACAGTACTTTTCACACAGAAAAGTGAAAAAAGAGGACCGTCCTCGCTCAGCCCAGGGGTCCCATGGGATCTTTCTTCCAAGTGGGCAAAATACAACATGTTTTCTAATTGGATACAAACAGCATGTGATGGTACGATTTGTTCAAGACACTTTCTGTTTTATGGATAATGTAACAAAAAAGTTAGATAGCCCAGCTTTAAAGCTTTAAGTGCCCAGACCATTGCAAAAGTAAAAGCTTGTAATGTAATGAAATGTAATGAAATAGAGTGACTGCGGGGGCGACAATGGCTCAGTCGTGGTAGAGCATTGGTCACTGATGTCTGCTCCCCCTGAAAGGTTTTATCTCCCCTCACATTGAGCATAATAAACACGTATGCTACTTTGACCACAGCTAAATTTGGGGTGGACCAGGATGTAATTTTAGTAGTAGTAAGTAGTAATCTTTATTTATATACCGCCTTTTCACTGCAGATCTGAGTCTCAAAGCGATTTACAATTGTTAATTTTAAAAACCACTTTGACTTGCTCTTTGCCACATTGCTTTTGTGTGACGCCTTTATGAGTGTTATGTTTGATTTAGAGGATGCAAATAGATCTGAAAGCTGTGTAAGAATGTGCAGTTGGCTCCACACTATCAGGGCTGTAACAATGTTTACAAGTACAAGTAGTGATATCAAAATCGATACCCAATGCCAGTATCAAAGAAATGATTAGACCAAAACACCATCCACTAAATAAATTCAAACATGCATCATATGACTTTAATCCTTTCCCTTCCTTGTCTTGTCAGGACCGTAAGCTGTCCAAGTCTGAACGGCAGCGCTTCAAAGAGGAGGCGGGCATGCTGAAGGGGCTCCAGCACCCCAACATTGTGCGGTTCTATGACTCCTGGGAGGGGCCCTGCAAGGGAAAGAAATGCATCGTGCTGGTGACTGAACTCATGACGTCCGGCACTCTCAAAACGTGAGTTATCTGCTCGTTTCCGACTGGACTGCTCGCTTTGTGATAAGCATGTCTCTACTTACACGGGATAGTCCCAGGTTGCATGTCTTCTCCAAATGCTTTGATTGGCTCTGTTTGTGACCAATGAGTCTTTATGGATATAACATTTAAAGTTGCTACTTTAAAGTAGAGCTGTGCAATAAATCGATTTTAATTATTCGAATTAGACGAATTTGACGTTTAGGGCGATTTCTTGTTATTGAAAATCTCCAGCGCGGAGTTACAGTGCTAACACGCTAGCCGCCATTATTGAGTCATTTTGAAAGCTCCCTAATGCTAACAGTCTCCCTTCTGTCCTCCTGACCCTCGCTCTCACAGTGTCACACTTCAGACGTTCAATAATCAGACTTTATTTAATCACCAGAACACACCAACACACACTTGTATCCTGCCTGACTCCGGTCGCTCTGCTCGTACGCCACACTTTTCATTCTTTCATTCTCATTCATTCATTTCTCAGTGCTCACGCTCGTTACTCCAAAGCGCGCTCACGTGTCCGGCGCACCCACGCACACGTGTCCCACTGAGCCGCTGCACTTTGGGGAAAGACACGTCCCACACATTGCTCTCATTTCTCTGATACGAACAACACGTTCCGTGCTCTATCTTTTTGCTACAGTAGCAGAATGTAAACAGGAAGAGAAACGGAAAATGGACTCGCACAACTTGTAGTCACTGAAGTTACGGGGCTTTCACACCGCCAACGCTGAAACGCTGAAGCCCCGCTCACCAGACGCGCATTCTCTAGTTTTCAGACGCAGGGGTCTTCACACCAGAACGTCCTGACGCGAGCCGGAAGTACCGGAAGTAGCCGGCCGGCTCTAATGCTAACAGAGCTATGCTAGCGGCTTCTTGTGTACAGATCTTCCCCAATATGCAACTTTGCAGCGTGTCTTTGCTCACAGACATTCCACGGGCTTTATATAACAGTAGTATGTGTTCACGGAGGTGCGCCATACGTGTTTTCATGTTATTCAACGGAATTTCCGCATCGGAGCACACACTCGAAGCAGTTGCATAAGGTCACAGGAGCATGACAACGCATATTTTCACAAGCACAGAGTCCCCCATCGTCAACCCTGGTTTGAGTTCTGGTGAAGCCTGGTGTGGGTCCTGTTTTGGCTGTTTACAGTATTTTCAGTCTGCTCGCTCAGTCCGCTAATGTCCCCGTGACCACTTTGCTGCTCTCTGATTGGTTGTCGCACGAACGTTCCAAGGAAAGGATGAGCAGAATCCATCTCCTGTGGGCGTTGATTTTTCGCTCCTGCTCCTCCCTTTTGACTTTCCCGCCAAGTCTGTGCGTCATTATTGAACAGTCCGTTCGTGCGTGCCGAGAGGTCCGTGCGTTGTGACGGTCAAACGCGCGCCACCATAGACTTTGCATTGAAACCCGACGCAACGCATGATCCGGTCTGAAAGCACCATTAGTATTAGCGCCACCAGCTGGACTGAGCGTTGTACTGCAGCACAGTTACTCTGGCACGGTTGAAAGAACAAGCATGAAAACCCGAGGAGGAGGCTTTTGTAAAAGACTTTCTCTGTTATAACATTTGTATTTAGAGTTATCATTAGTTTAAAAAATTTGATATTTAAAGGTATATAGGAGGATTTTCTACTTCCGGGTGGATCATCAAGACTATTGGTCCTCCTGATTGTCAATCATTCTGGTGATACGTGCTCGTCCAATAAGAGCAGAGAGTTTTTTTTTAAAGTGGAGAGCGCGTTTCTTTCGTAAATTTTGGGAAAATCCTCCTGTACACCTTTAATGTAGATAATGCATGTGTTTAATATGATTGATATATTTGCTATAGAAAACTGTTAAGCTACATTTTCACTGTTTATGATGCCAGGGCCATCTTGTTTACAAGCATGTTTTAAGGTTTATTTCCTGTTACACATATGCTCCATGGGGAAATTTGCATTAAACTGCATAAAGGAAAATCTATTTCTTTGTCATTTGTAGTTTGTTATTACACCTGATTTGGTGTCATAAAATCGAAAGTGATGCTTTCTTCAAACGTGCCAACAGTACGTAAACAGAGTTTACTTGGTAAATATTTTTTACTGAGTTATTACTTATATGCCCTCTTTATTTCCCTACTCTCCATGTTGTCGTAAAAACATTGTATGTGCAGTTTCAAATATGGTTATTTCACATAAACGCAACAAAACTACTGTGCTATATTGGCCCTCTGTCATAGGTCTACAATGAAAGTGAGGTGAATTTTGTGACAAAGAGTAAACTTACAACTGTCGTACACCTGCTCACATTGAAATGTTTGATAATATGGAATCTTGTCTGGCATGTATGTATAATATATATTACAAATATACAGTCTATGCACCAAAACTGTTGCATTGTACACAAGGCAACGGCTCAATTTGATCATGACTGGATAATGAAATTAAGTACTTTTACCCAACCAAAATCTCTATTTAAATGTTCTCCAGGGGCCTCACTTGAGTTTTGTTTGGGTCAAATGTGGGCTAAATCTCATATTCGCTGAGCTGTTGAGATCTAAAAAACTAAACTAATATCAAAATAATTGTAATTACAGCCCTAAACAGTGTCTGGGACATCAGAACAGTCTGGAATGCCCCATTGATGCTGTGAGCTCAGACTGCTGCGCCACTATATCTCTGTGTGTGTGCCTGTGTGTGCCTGTGTGTGCCTTTGTGTGCGCGTGCATGTTCGATTAAGTATCTATGTCCTCTGTGAATGCTGTGCTGATGCCACTGAAGCTGCCATTGTGTGAGCGCCGCCAGGCTGTGCCAGTCCCTGTTTATGTGAAGAGAAAAGGCTGAGTCAACACCAAATCACACATGTGCTTTTGTATGGTGTCAAAATGGATGTGGCAACAACTGAGGTTAAGAGTATGATACTAGGGATCCAACGATGCCACTTTCTTCAAAATCGATTAAGAGTACCTTAATTTGAGTGCTTGCCGATACCGATTACCAATTCGAGATTATCTAGACATCAATTTCAAGTCAGTTTCACCAACCTCTAATAATTTAAAACCAAAACATAATAGATACAGTACATTCCAATTAATAGATTATGGGTCAGCTCTATTTACCACAGCGGACCAATGCTACAAATCTACAACATCCCAGAATGCAATCCCTGTGAAGGTATTGTATATTACTACCCCATATGATAATTATCTCCAAATATCAGATTTTTAATATTCCAGAGTCATATTCTCATATAGAGTCATATTCCACTCATACAAATGGTACACAGAAATAGCTTCAGTGCTAGCAAAGGTTACTCTGCGCGGTGGTGACTTTTATCAAGTTGCTGGTGTTATACGTGTTTGTTTTGGACCAACCTCATGACTGTTTTGCCTTACACAACGTACAGTCTGCTTTACTTTTGTTTACTTTAAAACTGCCTTATGGCCGTCATCTTGTCTGCTTGCCGCTAGTCTGCCTGCCGCTAATGTGAATTAAAAATGTGGGTATCGGTTGCCGGAATTGGGTACAAGTACAAGCCTATGGTATCGATACTAGTATTGGTGTCAATACTGTATCCCTATACATACAGATACAGATACTTTGTACCAAAGGCGAGTCAAATGATGCAAGAGTACAAACAAATTATTTTGTGCTTTGTGAAAATAATTAGCTAAATTGTCACAACAGTAGCTCTTTTAGAGTTTTACATTCAGATTCAGATTCATTTATTTGCCATTTGCAGTAGAACCACATTGGAAAAACTGTGCAAGACTACCCCAGTGTGCACCAGACAGACAAGACGGCACACACCAGAGCTCTTGCCACGGCCATGCGACAAACAGTAGAATAAACAGCAGAGAGCTGTAACATACAAATCACAAGACAGTTTGGATAAAACACGGACGTTTTTATTATGGAAGTAAACTCCGGCCAACCCTCGCCAATGTACATGATGCTTATTATAATCAGACTTTGTTTCACTGAAACTGTAAGTCCTGCTGTAATGATCTGCTCTCTGCCCCTTTAAGCTCCAGCAGCTCAGACCTCAGATAAAGTTAGCTTTCCGTTGAGAAAAAAAAAATGCCGGTTCAATGTTCCTGAATCATCTGGATTAAAATGAATTAGAAATAGTGGCGGTGTCGTGGAGGTTACAGTCAGAGATGTCAGGGGAAAAAGACATAACACAAACATGTGTCACTCTAAAGACAAGTTAAAGACCAAAGTATTTAAATGGCAAAAAACGCAACGGGCCAATACCAGACAAGTCATCACAAGGGAACATTCAGTCTAGGAACTGTCCCTTCATTTTCTCGTTGGAGAGGTGTGGTTTACTATTGACCATGGTCTTGCAGTGTCCATTCTGTGATTGGTTTAAAATCAGTTTCCAGGATGGCTTGCAGTTTGATATGATTGCTCAATATGGGGAATCCCTGGCTATTGGAAAACTACAACAGGATGGAAAAGCTGTGAAAATTCCTCTTGTCCTCTTGTAAAATATGTACCCACAAATCACACAATTCACCTTTACAGCCTTTTCATTTCGGCCATCATCACATTTCCACTGGTTCTCTTGTGTGTGTGCGCCTATGTGTCGCACCTGCAGCTGCAGATTACTCTCATTCCAGTCTCTGAGCGTTTAGAGCAAAGCAGTGCCCTTACCCGGTCTCACTTGCCTCTACAGACGACAAGAATTGTACCAGTTGTGAGATTAAAAAAAGTTTTCCTAAAAAGACACTTTTTTTTTACATTTGAACTCATGTCAGGGCAAGATTAACAATTTTCACAAAACATAAGGATGATCACAGGTGTCATTACGACGGCCAAAAGTGCCTATTTGCTCTTTATTTAATTCTCACACCACTGTACAGTTCTAGTTCCTATTAAAGCTGGGTAACCTGATTTTAGCACTATTTTCTGAATGCATGTAATATTAGTATGTAATATTTGCATCAATTGGGAAAAACACTTTCCAGGTAACATTTTGAATTGAACCAGCAGGACTAATACAGATGTAATTTGAAGCGCAATAACTCCCTCCAGTGGAACATATTGGGGACTTCAAGGTAGCAGTTCATGTAAGCAGAGAGGGGAAAAACAGGAATTGTCAGTGTTTTTGCCTAAAAAGGTAATTGGAAACTTCCCATGACAGATATATATAACACATTCTGTTTTGTTGTTTCATGTTTCCAGTGTTATGATTAGACATACGGCAGAGAGGAAATATGGAGTGGGAGAAAGTCTGGAGGGAGACTTGATGATAAATAAAATTTTCTGAACCTGTATATTAAAGAGAAAGTTTGAAGAATAGTCACTAGAACCAATATGGTCTTTCGATTTGTTGTTTGGATCAACGTTGATGAATATGGAATGGTTTTCAGATGACATGAAAACATTCACATATGTTTTGATTTTTAAACCGTGTGGGAAAGAGGTGTAGCGTCAAAGTGTTTGGGTCTGTGTGAGTGGGTCTAGTACAATATAATATTGTATTGTGTTGTCTACTGTTTGTTTATTGTTTTGTTTTTGTTTTTTAAGCAATTTTGTTCGAAATTGTTTGTCTATGTTGAATGGGTGATGAGGGTTGGAAGTTTATATGCCTCTGCTTCACCTAAACTCCCTTTTCCAAACATGTCTATTATTATGTTCCGTGGAATTGTGTGTCTGAAATAAACCTCTTGATTGATTGAATATGGAATTTTTTTCTACATTCGACCAAATCAAAGTTCAAGTGATGCCCCATGAGAACATAGATAGATGACGTGTTACACATTCTCTTACACATTCAGTTGCATGATTAAAAATACTTAGTAAATGCATTTTTTTTTCCTGTCATTATAGAATCATCTGAGTCATAACACTTCTCAGCATTTTCAAGTCTATGCAGGGTTCAAAAAATTATGATTCTGGACTTATGGATTAGTTGCAGTTAATTGATTGACCCTTCCCAGCTTTTCGCTTTCCCCTCATGGTGGTTTCTTTGTGTCAGGTACTTGAAACGGTTCAAGGTGATGAAGATCAAGGTTCTTCGCTCGTGGTGTCGACAGATCCTCAAGGGGCTGCACTTCTTACACACCAGAGCCCCGCCCATCATCCACCGAGACCTCAAGTGTGACAATATCTTCATCACGGGCCCCACCGGCTCAGTCAAGATCGGAGACCTGGGGCTGGCCACGCTCAAGAGGGCCTCGTTCGCCAAGAGCGTCATAGGTACCACGGCTGCTAAATAAGCGTATTTAAACCTTGAAGTTAATTTGATTTGTTAGTTTACTAATTGTATCATTAGAACATTGGATTACAATATTGATTTAGCATTTAATGTGTCCTCTGGGGTAATTATTAGTTTGTCAATATGGCAGGAAAAGAAAAAATGGACCTTAATAATATAAGAGGTACAGTATAATTCCGAACAGTAGTCAAGGAAGACACCCTCAGACTGCGTGGCCTGGGACTTTCCCATGGTCAACTCCTGTGGGACATGCCTGGAACACCTCCAAAGGCATCCAGGCGGAATCTGAAGCACCTCTACTGGCTATGAAAATATCCAGTAGAAATATTTTGAAGCGCAATAACTCCCTATACTTGTTCCTTGCTTTCGTAACAGTTCCACTACTAGTTTTCACTTGCATGTACTTTTGGCCTCTGTCTCATCTATAGATCAAAGATGTTAAAACAAATCTAAAAAAGTACAGATTAATTTGATAAATACAGTATGTTGTGGTCTGAATTGTTCACACCAGACTATTTCTGTTCTGACAGACAAAATGCATTTAGAAAACAATGACTCCAGCTTTAGTGCATCTTGCCACAGCGGCTCCCATCATTAACCTGAGCGTTCGCAGATGCCAGGGCATCTGTGCATTGGGTCAGATGATGTACCGTACAAAAAAGTATTTTTAAATTGAAACGGTAACTGTCAATATATTTTGCGGAGATTAGGAACTACTGAGGACAAGAGCTGAGAGACTTGAACTCCTCCTGAGGAAGGACTGCTACACAAACTGAGAGGGCAAGGATCTTCACCTGGTGGAGCAGCATGATCTGAGATTTGGAGGGCCAGTGGGTTCACATTGTGCATTTGAATCCAATCCAACTCAATTTGTACTGAAACAAAACTTTACAAAAATAAAATGTGAAGGCCTTGGGAGAATAACCAACAGGTTTCAAAAGCCTGATCTAGCATGCTGGATTCCAAAAATACAAAATATGAAAAAAATAATAAAAAAATACCGTGTTATGTTGCTTCCAAATGTCTTTTATTGTAATGAGTGTGTTACACTTATAACAACTGAAACTTTGATTACAAAAATGGTGCAAAATATGATGTACCTGTATGTATGATGTAATATGGGCTGGTGCTCTGACTGCCACCTTCCCTGACCCAGAAACAGAATTAGGGGAAGAAAAAGGATGGCTGAATAGATGATGTATTTAAACATAAACGCATGATGACTCTTTGATGAGATTGGCGTCTCTCCTGCAGGCACTCCAGAGTTCATGGCTCCGGAGATGTACGAGGAGAAGTACGACGAGTCTGTGGACGTGTATGCATTTGGGATGTGCATGTTGGAGATGGCTACATCTGAATACCCCTACTCTGAATGCCAGAACGCCGCACAGATCTACAAGCGTGTCACCAGCGTAAGTTGAAACGTGTTTTTTCCATGACCACTACCTCTACTGAAGATTTAGAGGTAAAACTACACAGAAGCACTAAAGAGACTACAAGATCCTTTGCCCCATTCAGGCCCCCCTGGGAAAATATATAGCTGAATAATCATCTGTCATTTTTAATCATTTTTAACAATTACAGAGAAGTTTACAGTTACGAGATGCCTTTGAAAGCCCCTCTGCTCTGCTGAGCAGGTGTAAGAGACTATAAAAGACCCAAACTTTCATAAATGGTTTCTGAACCCAACTTTGAGTGTGTGCAACTGTGAATGACAATGGAGAGTAATTCTGACTTTCTTCAAAGCTTCTAATAGTATAATAAGCATAGTCTACAGTTCAGAGTACAATCGTACAATCGTACACTTACACTTGCTGTCTTCTAAAAGCTTCTCATACTGACCCTGCCTGACTCCAGTCTTCATGAGGACTTGTTTGTACCCAGTCCTGTCCTGCTCTTTAACTTTGCTCTCCTTCCTGTTTTTTTAGCATCTGAGACATGATGTTGTCCTGATTTGCTCCTCTGCATTCCACTTTGTTATGTCCAAAGCTCCTCCCTCCTCTGCCTATTATAGCTTTGTTTTTCATCTGTTTTTTTGCTTAATTTTCTCCATTCTCATGTCATTGATGACTTATGAAAGGTAACACCAGCAGATGGCAATAATTAGCCAAATGTATTAGATGAAGCTAAATGTATAGATAGATTATTCACAAAAAAGGTACTTGCCTGAAAGTGAAATGTCAATTTTATTTGAGATTTGCAATTTCAAATGACACAATGACAGTGGAGTAGATTTGTACTTCCCCAAAGTCATCGTGTTTGTTCTCTGATATTGCTGTTTCCTTAGAATTGGAAACAGCAAAAGTGCTTTTCTGTCGCACGACCATCGCCTTCACTGCAGCTTACTACACATAATTATGTTTGTGAATTTAATTTTTACAAAAAGACAACATGTAAACAAACTACAACAAATAAACACACAGAGATGTAGATATCTAATGAAGTTGTCTTTAGGTCAGTCACCGTCCTGCTCCAAAGATTAACATTTCTTCTATGTAGGTAGCTCCAAATAGTCATTATAGATGATGCCATGAGTGAGGGGATTCCCATTGGGTAGCTACCGTCTTTGCATCCGTCTGTAGAATCTTTTCCTACACCTTGTCCCGAGCAGGGGCAGAGTTGCACAGGTGTGGAAATTATTTATCAAACATTACATGATGAAACTATAGCCACTGGGATGTAAAGATGTACTTCTGTTTATGTGCCAGGGTTGAGTGAGAACATTTAGACGATCAAGTTCTTGTTATTGGCAAGATATTAACTGAAATCAAGCCTTCTCCTCCAGTTCTGTTCCAATCCACCAGAAAACTGTCGAAAGGCAGTGCAGAAGGGGGATCTGGCCCCACTGGTTTCACACATGCATGCACTGGGCCTTGTGACAACCCCAGGCTCCGGTCACCTGCTCCCACTCTGACCACTTCATTCTTTTCACATTTCATCCTCTCCTGGGTCAGTGCACTGCAGACACAGCTTCAGTTTTGAGTCAGTCAAAGAGGCATGTTTTTTGTTTTACAGCCACATACTTACCTTGAGCTAAATATATAGTTTATTGGTAAATTCAGTTCAGTGCATTAATAGTGTTCGTCATTGCATTTGATTCTTATATAAATATTTGATTCACCTCCTACCTATATCTACCTATCCATTAATTTATCATGGCTCTAAACCATAGTTATATTCAGAGAAAGTGTAGAACTATAGGATTAAACTCTAACAGTAAGATTTATTATGCAAAGGGTTTGGGAAAAGAGCTCATTTTCACAAAGAAAAAAAAATATTTTGTGATTTGTTGTTTGACTCAAAACACAATCAGTAAGTGTCAAGTGTTTATTTTTTTGGGCATAGAATCAATAATATGAAAGAAATTTGCAGAAAATAAAACAAAAGGGAGTTTGTAGAAGCTTGAACTAAATAAAAGATGACCTGTTAATCATTCTACAATACTACCGTTGGTCCAGTTCCGTTTCCATCCAAGCATAATTTAACACATCTTGTTAAGTAGAATCCAAACAAATGTTTAATTACAAATATATATATATATATATATTTGGCCAATGTCTGGAGACTGGCAAGGCCACTCCACAACCTTGGAATGGGCGATGTGTTTGGGTTAAGGTAAAGGTGCACTTTATTTAACCCCATAGGGCAATTCATTTTTACTGCATTTGACCCATCCTGATGCCACTTGGGCCTCTAGCAGGAGCAGTGGTCGCCGTAGTACAGCACCCTGGGACCCATCTCCAGATGTTGATGCTCGGCTTGGTCAGGACTGAATGTTTGTAGTGGTAGAGGACCATCTGGATGATTGAGAAGAAGCCTGGGAGAATAGATGTTTTGGTAAAACCTCTCTAGTTGTCGTTGGAGGGGGAGAGCATGTTGTAGTTGCAGCGATAGGACGACTGATCTGTTTTAAGGATGTGCATGAACCGTGCTCTACACGCCTTACTAACATTTGTACTTCTATTACTACTGCCACTACTATTACTACTACTACTACTTCTGCTACTGCTGCTGCTCTAAAAAGACGAGGCTTTTGAAGGCATTTGGGTATTTGCTTCTCTCACACTGTTACGCACACACTCAGCCCCATATGATGTTTTTGTCCTGTCCACTCTTCTTGTCATGCCTAAAGTCATTAGTGGTCCATCAGCCTTAACTGGGTTTGTCTCAGGAATGTGTTATATGGAGGCTAAGGGCCCATGCCGGAGACTCTCAGGGGGACATTATGTAACGGGGAACTGGACCTAGTACTTCACACCAGAGAACCAGATCTGGGACCAAAGTCACACTCACTCACAGGTGGAGTTTTACTATGTCCTTTGGGGGTGTCTACTGACACTGGCTTGTGGTAAGTTCTGGCTCTATTGACTTCAATCAATCAAGGCTGAAACACTTTGTTTGATTTTTATTTTTTTTATTTTGCTTTTTTTAAATACTAGACATTTTAATTACTTCGGCTTTGAATTTGTTATTTTGCTCTACAATTGCATTGTTACTCAATTTAAATAGTGATTTTTATGATGATACCCTGTTTTATATACAGTTCTTCTGATAAAGTTCTTCAAATATTGAAAAAATATCATTTTCAAGCTTCGGTTTTTTGTTTGTTTTAATACTAGTTTACGCATTTACAATGTACAAGTACAATGCAAGCTGGGACAGCTCACAGTATATCACATAAGTTCCTAATATTGGTGTGGGTGGAGCTAAAGACAACTCCAGGTCTGTTTTTAATGAGGGACAATGCTGTAATGTACTTAAAAGCTCATATTTTTTGTATATTTGATTTATTTCTCATTATTATTTAACTACGTTGCATTCAAGAAGTCATTTCTCTGACCGTCCCATGTTTTTCAAGCACTCTGTTATTTACATGTTCCATTTCTTTTTTTTTTCTTTGATACGCATTAGCATCATTACCAATAAGCAAAACCCTGTGTCTCCTCTTCCTTACCCGGAGGAACTAAAAAAACAACTCAACATTCAACCGACCTTGTGATCAAGGCGTGTTCAGTGTGAACATCCATCCATCCATCCATTTTCTTCCCTTTAATCCATTTCTGGGTCAGGGGGGTGGCAGTCAGAGATGCCACCCAAGTTCAGTGTGAACAATCCACCCAAATATAGCTGCAGTAGTTTTCTAGCCCGTTACTTACACGTTACATACACACGTTGCATGTTACAAGAACATTATAAACTACACACAGGTCACAGAGGGGACAATATTTTGCATTATGACAGTGTAACGAGCCACGGAGCCATGTTTGGGCGAGTGAAGCTCTTATTGTGACAGTTTGGATTTTTGCATGCGCTGCTCTTCACTTTATCAAGTTGTCCTTGCACCATATTGGATGTTAAACTTGCTGTAGTCAAATACTTTATTGTCATTACAATGTTCAAGACAACACATTTTAGCATCTAACCAGAAGTTACTCAGAAGTATCAGATAATATTTACAACACTGATACATATATGTAGTATGCATAGAAACTGTACAAACCAACTATACCTAGTATATACATTAACTCATTGCCTGCCAGCCCATTTCAGAACAGGTACTCCCATAGTGCCAGCAGTTTCTGATGATTTTTATGGATTTTTCAAGACCCACAGAATCTTGTGTACTATGACTATCTGAAAACCAGATTCTGAAAGAATGGACTGTCTACTTTCATCAGAATTTTTTTGTTTGTTTCAAGCTTGTTTCGTTCCCCCGTAATCCCCAGTCGAGTAGAGGGACGTTTTACTGAAATCAGCATCCTGTTTTCAAAACTGGTGCCACCTGCTGGTTCGATGAAATATGGTCTAAAGCTAATCCCCATACATATTAGATAGAATAGACCTCTGGGAACATGAAAATAGTGAAAAACGCATTTGACGTTTTAACACGTCAATGGCACACAATGAGCTTCATCTTGTCTGTGTCTTTCACCAACTATCTCTGCTGCTGAGTTAGAATAGCTGAAGTCATCAACAACTATGAAAGCTGCTTCCGGATGAGCTTAGACCTTTTGAATGTTGTTATTATGACAGTCTTTATTATTGGTATCATTATTATGAGCGGAACCACTATTAAAGCTGTGGTACACAACTCGCAGAAAAAAATCAAAGCATTTTCTCACTCTCAAAACAGATTGCTTCAACCACTAACTTTCACAAGCATGTATTTTTTTTACTCATGTCTTTAGATAGACTTTTCCCAAACAGAAACTGTCACTCTGAAGGCATTCTTTCAAATGTAAATGGGGATTTCTACCTACTGGTCACCTGGAGCTGATGCTGTTTTATACAAACGGTCAGAAGTTAGGAAACATCTTTTCAATCTTAAAACCACAGCTGTGATGAAAGTCACTCTGTCTTCAAAGCATGTGGTCCCTTTTATCTCATTAGTTTATTGACAGTACATTGTATTAGAGTTGTCCAATTGGAACGTTTACACGCACACACTGCCATAATGGAGTTAATGTTGTTTTGAAGGAACATTTGAACAGCACTTTGAACATGTGTCTGGTCCTCATCCACAGGGAGTGAAGCCGGCCAGTTTTGACAAGGTTGCCATCCCAGAAGTGAAGGAAATCATAGAGGGCTGCATCAGGACAAACAAGGATGAAAGGTACGCTTTCTTCTACCTCACAAGACATTCGTTTTTTACAATGAAAGATACAACATATTTTTCACGTACAGTGATCATTTATTTGTTACTTGAGTTGGCTTGTGTATCAACTGTGCTATACAAATAACCTTGCTTTGCCTTGTCTAACGATTAGGGAAATATGCAAGCATCCAGCAGTAATGGGGAAGGGAATGTCTTTGTATTTAATTTTTCTAGGAAAATACATTCTTGACTTGGAGTATAATTTAATTTTTGTTTGTTCCCTCCCCTTGCCATTACACAACCAGTAATATTTTCTTGAGGAGAATAGTCAGAATAGATTTGAATTCATTTGTCTAACTGGCACTTGGAATGTCTTTACATCTTCAACATTTCAAAAGTAAGTGACCTTGACTCTAAGGAAAGGTAATGCACTCAGCCCGCCTTTTTAGCTTTTATTTTTAACTTTTTTGTCGTTTCCAAAAAAAAATCCAAATTGAAGTCTTTTGTAGTTGTAAATATTTTGTTGTGCTTATCCAGGCACTGTAGCATGCTGCCCCACATAGATCATAACTATACAGCTGAAAATGATTAAAGTCATCCAGTGTTTACAGCAGTCTCCTTTGTTCAACATGTAATGTCATTTTTATAAGTGAATTAGCCATTTTAATGTCTAACTTGATGTCAACATGTTATTGTGGTGGCACATCCATCTCACACTGATTATCCATGAGAGCGTCTAAGGTTGTGGTCGCCTCCAACGTGTCTCAAACAGTCCTCGCCTGTCCCCTCAGATACGCCATCAAGATCCTGCTGAACCACGCATTCTTCCAGGAGGAAACGGGAGTGCGTGTGGAACTGGCCGAGGAGGACGATGGGGAAATGACCGCCATCAAACTATGGTTGAGGATAGAGGATGCCAAGAAGCTGAAAGGTAAAATATGACTGTGTATTAGCAGCTAAAATCTAATTGTGTTTATTTCTGACAGACTCTTAAATCGAATTTCTATATGTTTAAAAAGTTGGTTTTTGTTTTGAGTGCCTATATAAAACAACTTTATACGGGCAAACATGTGGAATATTGTAACTCTTAGCTTCTTTATGTGATATTTGTTGTCCAAAAAGTTCCTTAAAAATAGATTAATTGATTGAAATTCCAACTAGAATGAAGAGATTGGCTGCATCCCAATTCAGAGTAAAGCCTCGGTCCTTGTTCTGTGTATCATTCTTACTGGCATCAAAATTTGAATTTGAAGTGGCATTTCAAAACGCTTTTAAAAGTCTTACTGTACATATCCCTTGAGTTAACATGGAGCTACCCTCTTCTAAATCTAAATTTGAATAGAGACAAGGACAAGGAAGGATAATAATCCTACAGCAGATTTGCCAAATAAACTTGTAAAACAATTCTACAGCTCTATATAAAAGCTTGTTCCATTGACAAATATTCCAGTTTTATTTGCACACTATTTGCAACAGACTTAAAGAAAAAAAGGTGCTTATTTTGGCTCTAAAACATGATCTGTATGTGATTATTTATTTCGTATGTAGCAAATACATGGATTCAAGTTCATAGATAAGTGGTATAGCATCCTGGTTTAGTGGTAGAAGTGACACATTACAATCAGATTATTGTGTTAAAAATCAAAAACATCACATCTCTGGAGAAAGCTTTTTTCATACTTTACAATCAATCTGAGAATAGTATTAGCCTTTGATTAGCTGCTTTTACATTGTTCCTCAAAGCTCCTGTCTCCGTTCTGCAATCGTACGCTCAGTGAGGTTTTCTACCTTGAATCACTCAAAAATGAGATTAGCCTGTTTGCAATTGTTAACTTTCTGGGCGACACGGTGGCTGAGTGAATAGCCTCTCAGCAAGAAGGTCCTGGGTTTGAATCCCGGTCGGAACCAGACATTTTCTAAGTGGAGTTTGCATCTTCTCCCTGTGTCTGTGTAGGTTTCCTACCGCTAAAAACATGCACAATAGGTATGAATGTAATGAGTGAGTGACTGGATGGTGTTGGTTGGAGGTGCCAGTGTGTCATCACCGTGTGGAGAGAATGATAAATGTCTGTAAACATGCCTTTGGGGACCAAGGTCTGTAAAAAGTAAGATCACGTACTTACTTTCAAATTTGGACAAATCTTCACCTCACTCCCCTGGTAAGGGAGTTACATTTCACCTTTGAAAACATTAAATGACAAACCAAAAAGTATGTTCCCTTCTCAAATATATCTGTGCAATGATTCACGCATTTTTGTTTTAACAATCTTTGAAGTCCTGCAATTAAGACACGAGCTTTGAGAATGAATTATTATATATTAGATTAACATTTTTGAGCGTTGAGCATTTTTGTGTGAATTAAAAAATTCAGTGTTGGTGTGCGAAACTGTGGTGACCTCAACATGCATTTGTATTCATTGCAGGAAAATACAAAGATAATGAAGCCATAGAATTTTCGTTTGACCTCAACAAAGATGTTGCAGAAGATGTGGCCCAAGAAATGGTGAGCACCTTTTCACATCACCTCGACGTGCTTAAGAAGTTATTAATACAAAACAAGTCCAAGCTGTCTATCTTACATATGAATAAATAAATAGAATAAATATAAATATATGTGGACTGAACCAGTAGTTAGCAGGGTGACAGCAGCAACCGTTAGTGACTCATGGAGAGTGACCTGGTGAAGCCGCAGACCCCTCTGTTGTGGGTCAGAGCAGTGTTCTAGTGGAATGAAGTTGTGGCTCCACCTGCATGTGAAAGTCTGAAGGCATGTGGAAATCAGACATCTGAAGTTAAGCAGAGCAGGAACTGGGTAGTGCTGTAATGGGAGACCTCTGAGAAGACCAGGTGCCACAGTGGGGCAGCTGTAAATTTCCAAACTGGCATTGTGTCTTTGAGCAAGACCCTTCACCCGCATTGCTGAGTATAAGTCTGGGGTGTGCATGCATGATGAGGAATGGTGATGGTGGGAGGGGCCGATGGCAGATACTGGTTGCCTCACTTCTGTCAACGTGCCCCAGGGCAGTTGCAACAATGATAGTGGTCTATCACCACCATGCCCACCACTAAGCCCATGAGAAGGGTCTTTGAGTGTCCACAAAGTGCTTATTAAAAGCCAATCCATTATTCAACTAGAAACTTGCAATGGCTGAAGCCATTGCGATTGACTGCGGAACAGATCTAATGTGGAATTTAGCTGAAAAATCCTTGAAATCCTTGAAACTGTTAAAATACTTTAAACATCTTTGAAACTCCTGAAGTATTTGAAGCTCCTGATATCCTTTAAACTGTTATCCTTTATACTGGTTTACATGTAAAAACCCCTATTAAGTTGCATTATACTGGTTTACATGGAAAAATCCCCATTAAGTTGCATTATACTGGTTTACATGTAAAAAACCCTATTAAGTTGCATTATACTGGTTTACATGGAAAAATCCCTATTAAGTTGCATTATACTGGTTTACATGTAAAAATCCCTATTAAGTTGCATTATACTGGTTTACATGTAAAAACCCCTATTAAGTTCCATTATACTGGTTTACATGTAAAAACCCCTATTAAGTTCCATTATACTGGTTTACATGTAAAAAACCCTATTAAGTTCCATTATACTGGTTTACATGTAAAAAAAAACCCTATTAAGTTGCATTATACTGGTTTACATGTAAAAACCCATATTAAGTTGCATTATACTGGTTTACATGGAAAAATCCCCATTAAGTTGCATTATACTGGTTTACATGAAAAAAACCCTATTAAGTGGCATTATACTGGTTTACATGAAAAAAACCCTATTAAGTTGCATTATACTGGTTTACATGGAAAAATCCCTATTAAGTTGCATTATACTGGTTTACATGGAAAAATCCCTATTAAGTTGCATTATACTGGTTTACATGGAAAAAACCCTATTAAGTTGCATTATACTGGTTTACATGTAAAAACCCCTATTAAGTTGCATTATACTGGTTTACATGGAAAAATCCCCATTAAGTTGCATTATACTGGTTTACATGTAAAAAACCCTATTAAGTTGCATTATACTGGTTTACATGGAAAAATCCCTATTAAGTTGCATTATACTGGTTTACATGTAAAAATCCCTATTAAGTTGCATTATACTGGTTTACATGGAAAAATCCCCATTAAGTTGCATTATACTGGTTTACATGTAAAAATCCCTATTAAGTTGCATTATACTGGTTTACATGGAAAAAAACCCTATTAAGTTGCATTATACTGGTTTACATGTAAAAACCCCTATTAAGTTGCATTATACTGGTTTACATGGAAAAATCCCCATTAAGTTGCATTATACTGGTTTACATGAAAAAAAACCCTATTAAGTTGCATTATACTGGTTTACATGAAAAAACCCTATTAAGTTGCATTATACTGGTTTACATGGAAAAATCCCTATTAAGTTGCATTATACTGGTTTACATGGAAAAATCCCTATTAGGTTGCATGATTACACTGAAGTCCTTGAAACTGCTGAAGTCCTTGAAACTGCTGAAGTCCTTGAAACTGTTGAAGTCCTTGAAACTGTTGAAGTCCTTGAAACTCTTGAAATCTTGAAACTGCTGAAATCCTTGAAACTGTTGAATCCTTGAAACTGTTGAATCATTGAAACTGTAGAAATGTCTGAAAGAGCTGAAGTCCTATTAAAATGCATGGGCCTATTAAAATGCATTGCAGAATTCTCAATGCAGATTTTTGTCCGATTGCGGAAAAACCGGAAATCGCTGAAGTCCCAAAAGTAATAGCAATAATCTCCCAAACATGTGGAACGTTTTGATGTATAACTTGTGGAAATTGTTGAAAATGTGAAAGCTGTGAAACGTGTCAAAAAAAATGACGGAATAAAGAAATACAAAACCAATGGTTGACTGCGGAAGGTTCCGCAGTCAATCAATTATTATAATCTAATGCCTTATTTATGTAGGCTGCAGCAAATAATGCACTGCCTGACATTTGTTAATTATATTCAATCTGAAATGATTTATACCTGTGTAAAATGAAGGAATTGACAACAACATAAGAATAAATATAAAACATGTAATCACACCTTAAACACCATTGAACTCTAATACATGTGTAAAATCAACAGTTCTGTTAAATCATTGGTCCCTCACTGAAACACCCTCAAAGACAACAGTTGAAATGTTTTCAACTTTCTTGAATGTTGAAAGCGTTGAGGTTCAGGTGCACTAGGTTCGCTTGACGAGACAACAAAAGTTAGAAGAAACCATGTGCAATATGGGACCACAGTGTACAGTAGTTACATCACTGTGAACGTTTGCAACCTCAGAGCTAATGACTTAATACTCTTCTTGATGAAGGGTAGATGTATATAAGTATATACCTGTATTTCTTGAGAGTATGCGGTAGTTATATTTGTTTGTTTTTTTAAGTTAAAGATAATGATTTTGTATTTCTTTGCTTTCAAAGTATAGAGTTGTGCTATATTCACTTGTGCTGTGTGCTCCTCATTCCTATTCTTATGATGCAACACTGAACTTTCAACACTGTGGGACAAACAAAGAATCTCTTCAATAATTAAAATCAATCTAAAAATGTGACAAAGGCAAAAAACATGCCTATGTAAACTAGTGATAGAACCTGACTGACCCAAACAGCATCCAATCCTCTGATTGGAGCCTTCCTCCCATCGCTGTCCACAGTCGCCTTTATGACCCTCTCACCCCTGCTGCTTGTGCTGCAGGTGGAGTCTGGATATGTGGCTGAAGGCGACCACAAGACCATGGCCAAAGCCATCAAAGATCGTGTGTCTCTGATCCTGCGCAAGAGGGAGCAGAGGCAGCTGGTGCGCGAAGAGCAGGAGAAGAGGAAGCTCCAGGGCCAGCAGCAGACAGGGGCCCAGGAGACCCCCAAGACCCCCCATCAACAGGTACCAGCCCAGCCTCGGATTCAGATTCATTTATTTCCATTTTCAGTAAAACCACATTGGAATACATCCGCAAAAGTCCCCAGTGTGCACAAGATAAGTACATAAATAAACAGAGAGAGGTGCGCAGGGAGTGCGATTAAAGTAATTTGTTCAAAACCATGAGTGTGATAATTAGCTAAGTAGCAATATTACCTTGCCGGCAGATAATATCCACACTCACTCAGAAAACGTTGATTTGAGTGGTTTCTTCTCAGGCCGAATCGGAGGACACCGAGGTGGAGCAGCAGCAGATCTACTATCAGCTGTCAGGTACACACACACACACACACTCACACGCACACGCACACACACACACACACACACACACACGCACGCACACGCACACGCACACACACGCACACACACAAATGTTGTACAAAGAAAGAAACTGCATTGTTACCTGTTCTCCGTCCACAGTGGAGCTGGCAGGGGACAGTGGGCAGGGTTCTTCAGTCTTCTCGCCGGACTCTCCTCATGTTGGACCCCTGAGCATGTCCTACAGCTCGGGGCTTCCTTACCCCCCAGCCCCATCCAGCGGCTCAGGATACCCCCAGCCCATGGTGAGTACAGCCCAACATAGCTGCCCTCCACTACAGATTGGTTCTGGTCCATCAGCCAGTCTGAACAGGTTTGTGACAAAAGCTCTCAGAGAAAAACAATGGTAATTTATGTCGGCAAATATCAGAAAATGCATTATATTTGTATAAAACAGGCAGCTCTTAAAAGCGTCTCTTCCTTCCACATAAATATTTACTATCAGATAAAACAATCAGTCAACTCTAGGCCTGCCGCTGACTATTCCATCATGAATACATTTAACATGGTTTTAAATGAGATTTCACAATGCACAGATTAAGTTAAAATTATGCTTCATAAAACATATATTGTAGATTTATAAATTGGGCTTTTTGAAAAGCTAATATATCCACGGGACTCTGTGAAAGTTAAAGGAGCAATATGTAATATTTGCATGTCAAGTCATCATTAAATGACCCGAATATTTCAAAAGGCGTTATTAAATCATACTCTTTTCGAATTCATCTTTAACTGATAACAGTAGTTCAGCCGAGATATTTGATTATCAAAATTAGTTTTACGACCCGTAAAAGTTGTTATTGTTTTGATTTTGATGTCCTACCCTCCGCCGTTTCGCCAATCAGGAAGTGTCATGTAAGTCCGTGATCGGGTTGCCAGAACTCCGCGCGGCTCATTAATCTCAGTGGTAAAATAACATGTGGCGCAGAACTAAAAAAGGTCTTGTTATGACTCTCAAATCATTAATGACAAAACAAAGACTAAAACGAGGATTTATATCGGGATGCCTTTGAACAATTGAGACAGCTGATAAAAGTTCACGTGTGATGCAGAATTTTCTAGTTTGAGTCCGTTCTTCAGTGTCTCTATTCGTGTGAATCGGTGGTCTAGAGGTCTAAGGTGTGCGCTTACGACGCAGGAACCCGGGTTCGATCCCGGGCTATGTCTTTTTGTATTTATTGCATGTTATCACATTCTATGACGGATTACTCTAAAAACGGTAAAAGATGAAGGCCAAGACATTTTTTTTGCAGATTATAGCTTAATTGTAAAAATAATCATTTAAGACCACATGTACACAATTAAAATAATGTTAGTCTCTTTTTGATGTGGGACTTTTACATGTTTGTCTAAAAAATAGGGAATAAATAAAATTGAAAGGTGATATCCTCTTGAGCAAACCCTGATGTTGATACGCTGAAGAAATACGTTCCAACATCCATTCTTCCCACTCCTATTTTGGACATCAATTGCTTATTTATTTTGCATAAACTATGTATAATTACATTGCTTTTATTTTGTTTTTGTTTTTTATCTCAAATGTCCAAATAATAATAATAAAAAAACATTAATCAAAACATTCATTCAGCATTAGCACGGCTGTCATGGCAATGTGAATGGAGACGGACAAACAACTGATAAAATAATTCCCTGTGTTTGCTGCTGGATTTGGTGTGAATCTGGCAACCTGAGTCAGGGAGAGTGGGAGAGGACTACAAATATTGACTGTGACTGCAGTACCACTTTTGGCCAGATTTTTACATATTGCTCCTTTAAGGGAAGTCTTTTTTTTTGGCTGCGTTGGGCTTTCTACAGAGTTCTTAAAGGTATACTGTAGTTTTTACTCATCTAGCATTGAGATCATAAATGTAATCTACGGTACTGCGGCAGCTTCGCAAGACCATATGTCGTCTTTGACAGTGGTTCCCCAACTCCCGGTTAAACTCCTTTTTGTTCCTTTTCAACCACTGCATTTCAAGATGGCGCATTGATCTAGAGAGTCCTCAGCTCTCATGTACTGTACATTTATAATTAAAATTCTAAGCCTAAAAGAACAATTGTGGAACATTGTGGAGGAAAATATTCTTAAAGAAGTCACATTTGTTATTGGTTCACTTTTTCTTTTTTTCTTATTTGGAGCAACTGTAAAAATCACACAGAGTACTTTTAAAACATTATTTACATTTTTTTAAATTCAAAACATTACTACATGGAACATAAAGTCATCTCCATGTTTAAAGTGCAGTAGAGTCGGGGCTAGTAGTTATGTAGTAGTACATGATACAACTGGGGTTGGAGTAATCATAATGGCAACAATATGTGTGATTATTAAATAATTAATTTTAATTCAAACAATATTACAAAAATAAACAAATAAATTGTATTCAGTCTGATGATATGCTTGCAAAAAAACTACAGAACTAAGAACTATATTCAGTTCTTAAATGGTTTTGTTAGCACTTGCAAAGGACAACCATTTATGTGTTGTCTAAATTAACTGCAATTTCTTACAGAATGGACATTAGAAATATTGTGATTACATGAATGATGTGGTGGCAATAATATATATATTTTTTACACATAAATCAATCATTTGTATGAGTTTTCCAGAACAACATAATAAATGTCCTGAGAATAATGTAATACTATTTCATTCAAAATTAGCACGAGCCTACTTATGTTGTAATATCATGTTATAGATGGTGTACTAGTAACAAGGGTAAACATTGCTATTGGCCTGCCCTATCACTATGCTACCACCAGAGGGAGGAAGGATTTTTATGTATTTGGTTTTACTAAATTAGAGAATTGCTGAATGCAACCTCTACCATGTGATTGTAAATAATGTAAGTTCACCTGAGAAATGGTCAAAGCTAATTTAATGACAATTCTTCCTCGATGAGTGTGATGTCATAGTGGTACAAAGACGTCATACAATTACAGGATTGAGAGAGGAGTTTTTGGACAGAAGGGACAGAGTTACATGTTTGCGCCATAAGTTCCTGATATTTCCATTTACAGATATAGAAACAACTCAAGGTCTATAAAGTCCATAAATTGATTTTGCATAAAATGTTTCCTTTAAATCATGATGAACATGAAATAACATGAAATGACCAAACAGGATTTATTTTTGATTACTTTTTGTTCTGGACCCCTTATAGAAATGACCTATGGTCAAAAGAAAATACTATTGCACTTTGTTAACCTCAGAAGGCTATTTTCTCTGGACTAGAAACAAGACAGTGTATGAAAACTGGCTTTATGTCAGATTAGTGAGACTTTAGTCACGCCCCCGTCAGCTTCACACAGTCCCGGGGTTTTACGCAGCACCTCTTCACACTCTGCTTGGATTTTTCATGTATGATTTCTATGAAGTGAGCTTTTTGTTGTGGTGTGACGGAGTGCAGTGAGCAGAGTGCAGTGAGCAGACAGGACTTTGTGAAGTTACCATAGGCACTGGATTAAATGCATGCGTGTTTTTGGAGAGGTTTGCCCTAACTTACATGTAACAGGTAGGAGATTTTAATATGTTACATTCGATATTTTTTTTATATTATCTAGTACATTAGTTTAAGCAGAGGTGATGAGAGCTGATTGGCTGAGGACGTTCTTTTCTACTTTTCCATATGAAAAAGTTGATCTAAAAATGTGACAGAGGCTAAAGACACATGCTTGTGAAAAGTTGTGTTTTGAGAGCGAGGAACTAACAAGTTTAATTAGTTTGAAAGTTGGTGCAGTGTAATCCTGTAGCTGAAATGTTAATTTTTATTCCCAGATGACAGAGTAAAATTTCACTGAACCCTTTGATTTTATGTGCCTTTTTTGAGACGTTTATGTTTTGAATTTTTTGTGTTTACTTGTTTTTCTCTGCGTGTTATAATTTAATGAAAATGTATGGTTTTTACCTCAACAAACATGTTCTTTTCTCAATGCAATTTTCATTGTCTTATTGTCCTCTATATTCCCTAATGTTCACATGACGTTGTGCAATATCCTCCTGTTATCATTAGACCCTTTCAGCAGATTAACAAACCAATGTTTGTGTTGTTTTATTTTATTTGGTAGATGTTTTCTCATACATCAGGTCACTGTTTTAAAGATAGCATTTTTGAATTTCAGCCAAAACTCTGTTTTGAACATATCTATGAAAAGCATAAAAAATGTGATGGCCATGTTAAAGCGCTTTAAAGTAGAATTCACCAGCATTGATGGCCCAAACTGAATTATGGGGTCATCCTGATTTGTTACATTCTCATTTGACTGTATTGTTACTTTTATGTATGGTAAAAAATAATGGTATAAAGATTATAGACTGTCAAACAACTCTGCTGGAAGGGTAACCAGCAGAACATTTGGAGCAAAAAGCGTTGAAAAGAACAATACGAAAGCCATACAGTAGAACAGTAATACAACACATTAAAGGTCCCAAATCTCGCTCTTCTTCATTTTTTCACAGTCCATCCTAAAAACAAGCAATAATAATGTGAGTGAGACACCATACAACACTCAACACCAGGCATTAGAGCCATTTTAAACACAGAGGTGAGCTTCATCTGCTCATCCATGGTGTGTGTTTGTCACAGATGTGGACCCAGGCGCTTTGCTGCCTCTTGAGAATGAAAGGGAAAGATTGCTCTCTAACTAAAGCTTGAGGGAATCAATGAAAGTCTGGGCATGTTTATGAAGACCAAATAGCACTGTAATATATATATTTTTTACACATAAATCAATCATTTGTATGAGTTTTCCAGAACAACATAATAAATGTCCTGAGAATAATGTAATATTATTTCATTCAAAATTAGCATGAGCCTACTTATGTTGTAATATCATGTTATAGATTATGGAATAAAATCTTCAGTAAAAAATATATGGTGTACTAGTAACAAGGGTAAACATTGCTATTGGCCTGCCCTATCACTATGCTACCACCAGAGGGAAGAAGGATTTTTATGTATTTGGTTTTACTAAATTAGAGAATTGCTGAATGCAACCTCTACCATGTGATTGTAAATAATGTAAGTTCACCTGAGAAATGGTCAAAGCTAATTTAATGACAATTCTTCCTCGATGAGTGTGATGTCATAGTGGTACAAAGACGTCATACAATTACAGGATTGAGAGAGGAGTTTTTGGACAGAAGGGACAGAGTTACATATTTGCGCCATAAGTTCTTGATATTTCCATTTACAGATATAGAAACAATTCAAGGTCTATAAAGTCCATAAATTGATTTTGCATAAAATGTTTCCTTTAAATCATGATGAACATGAAATATCGTTGACCAAACAGGATTTATTTTTGATTACTTTTTGTTCTGGACCCCTTATAGAAATGACCTATGGTCAAAAGAAAATACTATTGCACTTTGTTAACCTCAGAAGGCTATTTTCTCTGGACTAGAAACAAGACAGTGTATGAAAAGAAGTTTGTCACAGATGTGGACCCAGGCGCTTTGCTGCCTCTTGAGAATGAAAGGGAAAGATTTCTCTCTAACTAAAGCTTGAGGGAATCAATGAAAGTCTGGGCATGTTTATGAAGACCAAATAGCACTGTAATGATGTTTACAGCACAGAAAAGTCAAAGGGCGTAATATGTCCACTTTAAGATAACATGGCAAGTCAAGATAGTGTTCACACGCCCACACACTCTCCATCCCTATACTTGTCTCCCACTTTACTTTTTAAACAGTGTTTTGAATGCAACCAGGTAAATCCTTCATTCGAAATACAACATTTGTGAACCAGCGTCCTGTTAAAGCAAAGGAAGGTTTCTCACCCATCATCTGTACTTCTTAGCAAGTTTTCCCGACGTTTCGTCCTGAACCTAGCGGACTTCTTCAGGGAATGAATTCTCGGACCGCACGTTGGAGATTTATAACCTATGGGTGTGGTTAGCCACACCCTAATCCTGATACTAACTCATAAACAATCTAAGGTCTGTTTGATGTAGAAGGGAGCAGGTCTAACGACCCTGCTGAGGCTAACGACCCTAACTCCTTAGCATGTCACAGACCTATTGTCTGCTGGGATGCTCAAGTGGAGTGCAGGTCTCACCCCTCCTAACTCATTAGCATGTCACTGACCTTGTCCCAAGTTAGGGCGTTGTTTTTAGGATGTCGTCATAGATGCGAGGCAAAACAAATCTTAACCCTCCTCCTCTGTTAAGAGAAGGTTTTTGTTTCCTCACAAAAATGGCTTCTTTCACTCCTCTCTCAAACCAATTCTTCTCCCGAGCCAGAATTTTAACCTCTGTGTCATCCACCGTGTGGTTGGAGGCCTTGAGGTGGAGATGAACAGCCGACTGTGGCCCACTAGAGTTTTCTCTACGATGTTGGTAAAGTCGTTTCTGTAGAGTCTGTTTGGTTTCTCCAATAGAGTGGTCAGTGCACTCCTCTTCACTACATTTAATTGAATACACCACATTGCTCTGTTTGTGTCTGGGTGTTTTGTCTTTGGGATGCACTAATTTCTGTCTTAACGTGTTGAAAGGTTTGAAATACACAGGGATTTTGTGTTGCCTAAAGATTCTTTGTAGTTTCTCTGAAACTCCCGCCACATACGGTAAGGACACGCCTCTCCTCCTACTTTCTTCTGTCTGTTGGACTGTGTCTCTGGCCTTTCTCGTCCTTTGGGCTTTAGTAAAAGACCACTTGGGGTAGCCACATCTGGAAAGTGCTCTCTGAACATGTTTGGTTTCTCTGTTCTTTCCCTCCGAGCTTGTGGGGACCTGGTGGGCTCGGTGTTGAAGCGTTCTAATGACCCCGAGTTTATGTTGTAGCGGATGATTTGAGTCAAAGGCCAGGTACTGGTCAGTGTGAGTGGACTTTCTGAAGACCTCAGTCTCTAATTGTCCGTTCTCCAGTACGATGACCTTACAATCTAGAAAGGCGAGTTCACTCTCCTTAGCATCCTCGCGAGTGAAATTTATAAAAGGGTCCACCGAGTTAATGTGTGCTGAAAATGGTTCCACTTCCTGTTTCTTTAACTTAACCCATGTATCGTCTACATATCGAAACCAATGGCTTGGCGCTGTCCCTTGGTAAGAGACAAGGGCTTGTTCCTCCAGTTTCTCCATATACAGATTGGCCACTATAGGAGAGACTGGGGAGCCCATCGCACAGCCATGAATCTGTCTAAAGAAGGTGCCTCTAAATTGGAAATACGTGGTGTTAAGACACATTTCAAGTATGTTAGTTTTGTTCTCCCCCCTAGTGTGGCGTCTTTCTGTAGGCTTTCTCTTACAGCCTCCACCGCCTCTGTAATAGGGACCGACGTAAAAAGCGATGTCACATCAAACGAGACCATTGTCTCATCTGTGTCAAACTGGAGGTGTTTGATTTTATTTACAAATTCTTTTGTGTTTTAAAACACAACCTCCACCTCAAGGCCTCCAACCACACGGTGGATGACACAGAGGTTAAAATTCTGGCTCGGGAGAAGAATTGGTTTGAGAGAGGAGTGAAAGAAGCCACTTTTGTGAGGAAACAAAAACCTTCTCTTAACAGAGGAGGAGGGTTAAGATTTGTTTTGCCTCGCATCTATGACGACATCCTAAAAACAACGCCCTAACTTGGGACAAGGTCAGTGACATGGTAATGAGTTAGGAGGGGTGAGACCTGCACTCCACTTGAGCATCCCAGCAGACAATAGGTCTGTGACAGGCTAAGGAGTTAGGGTCGATAGCCTCAGCAGGGTCGTTAGACCTGCTCCCTTCTACATCAAGCAGACCGTAGATTGTTTATGAGTTAGTATCAGGATTAGGGTGTGGCTAACCACACCCATAGGTTATAAATCTCCAACGCGCGGTCCGAGAATTCATTCCCTGAAGAAGTCCGCTAGGTTGAGGACGAAACGTTGGGAAAACTTGCTAAGAAGTACAGATGATGGGTGAGAAACCTTCCTTTGCTTTGACTAATCCCTGTACGACTGAGAGCTTACACAAACGTCCTGTTAAAGCTAATTTTGCATATAATATGTCCTTTACAGTAGCTTTAAAGCAGTGACCAGTTGACTTGAGCATATGTCTACAGGGCTCCTTGACAAACTTGTGCTCACATGACCTACATCATTGTCCAGTTGTTTGTCTTGTGCACATGGCCTGTCCCGCTCCGCAGTCGGCCGTGCTGCACCGCCGCCGCCGCTGTCGTAGCATGTCGGTGTGCGTGCCGCCATCATCCTTCTCCCTCCCGCCCTGCGCTCCTGCCCCTGCGCGCGCTCCCCACTCGGTCGAGCGCGGGGATCTGTCGGGGCGTCTGTCCAGAGCGCTGGAGGCTGTGCAGCCCGTGCACTCGGCCTCTCCCCAGCCCCAGCCTCAGCCTCAGCCCCAGGCCAGGCAACGGAGAGCCAGTCTTCCTGCGCTCTTCTCCAGCGCCGTACGTCACACCGTCTCAGAGTGAAGCGTGTAGAGTGTGAGGCTACACTTGGAGATCAACAGCGCTTTGACATCTGAAATTCACCCGTACACACCTCTTACACGGCTGGTCAGATTTCTGGATGACAGTGTTGGGGAGTAATAAAATATATGTATGAAGGCAAGGCAAGTTTATTTGTGTAGTACAAATACACAGGGCAAGTAAAAGTATTCAACAAGAGAGGAAAGCAGATGGGTGTTTGGTGCCGAGGACAGTGATTTTATATTTGGTAGTAACAACTCCCTTAATTAATACCTTTTATGTAGAAAATATACGGTGAAACGAGTAGGGAAAAAAATGCTTTCCGAATTTTTTAATGTGTATTTTCCAAATTTGAAAATTACTGGCTTCAACCATAACCATGTGATTGTAGAAACATTACTAGCTACAGGTATGTAAATGATGAGGGAACAATGTTGTAGCATGTTTAATAATGTTGAATCCAACACGTTTTTTTGTTTTTAAATCCCTCAAAAATTATTCATTTTAATATATAGTAACAAACAGCCAAGCCAATATTACACTAGGATTTGAATAGTTTCTTTCTTGTGAGTAACGCTGTTGTAATGTACGTGTTCCCTATTCACAGTACAAAGTACAAATCATATTTTCTGAACCAAAATGTTAACAAAAATATGATAGACATGTCAAGATTTTCAAGCAGATTATCAGATTGCCAGTTTAAAAGATGACATTTGCCTGTATTTATATATATATGTATATTTCATATTTGTAAATTATGAGTGAACACTTTGACAATGAGACAGAAAATCGTAGTCTGTGTTACGACTTAAAACCTCAGATAAAAACAAAGGTATGTGACTTCTGTTGATCTCCAAATGTGCTTTACACTTGAAAGATTTTTTTTTCTGCGCTTACTGAAACAAGTTCCATTTAACGAAATGACAGATCTAGTGTATTGTTCAATTATACACTAGCTGGTCGCGTGGCCTGTTTCTTATGTCCAATTTCACTCCATCCTCCCTATGTGTGACTTATAATCTCTGATCTGTAAATCTTCTTTATTTTCACCATCTTTCTGTTTGACCGCCTCATCCTTATGTCGGACCAGTTTTCCTTTTCTCTGTCCCGCCTGTCCTGCGCCTATCCTTTGGATGTGTCTCTGATTCTTCCGTTGTATGTGATCACAGCAGCACACACTGCCTCACCCGTACAGCGGAGGAGCAGGAGGAGTCACGGCAGGGCTGCCTGACCCCCCCACCATGTTCTTCCCCCCCATCCCTGAGCGTCCCGTCTCGTTCTCGCCTCCTCCCACCGGCCCACCTAAAGGATACAACAACCAGCGACGCAAAAGCACGTCCATCCTGGAGGCCCACACACGCCACTTCCAGCCCGCCTACCCACGCTACGGCAGCAGCCTGCACCCCTTCTCTGGGATGGACGGGGTAGACAGCCCCTCCCTCTACATGGTCAGCCCCAGTTTTGCAGTGGCAGCTCAGAGACTGGGCGTGGGAGAGCCTCTGCACCTGCCAGGCCAGTCTGAGGGTGGTCTGTACGGGATGAGAGACATGAGAGCAGATCATGAGGAGGTTGTGAGGAGGCTGAGTCTGAACCAGGCTGCCTTACTGGACCATTACGAGGCCATGGCGTACGGGGGCTATCCGATGAGCGCACACCAGCTTGGCCTGTACCACCAGCAGAGACAGGCAGCAGCAGCAAGTTTGGCCTACGATCCCGTGCCTCCACAGGCGGGCTTCTTACACGCTCATCTGATGCAGAGGATGAGTGCACACAGCCCCGTTCCTCAGTTATCCTCAATGGGAGTGTCCAGTGGGGGTGCTGTGTCCTCATCCTCTGAAGCCTGTTACCCCCCTGGGCCGGGGATCTTGACAGAGCAACCTTCCTCCTCCTCAGTCTTTGACTTTCACGTGGCTGCAGCAGCAGCAGCCGCAGCAGGAGACCCTGTGTTTGCATCACGGCTGTACCGCGGACGCCGCAGCTCCATGGACTTGCCCCTGGAGGACAGCGCGGGCTCGGGGGGGTCTGGGACTTACAGTCGCCTGCAGCCAGTCACAGAGGAGCTGTACTCCTACCTGAGCCCCGAGCAGCCTCTGCCACCAGGCAGCCTGCTGCTGCATTACAGCGGGCTCCCAGTGAAGGAGCAGAGCCCGGAGCCCTCCACAGACTCACTCACCTCTTCTGATGCAGGAGAGTTTCAGTCTCCCCCTCCCCAGACACTTCCTGCCTTTGACCCTTCAGCTGCCCAGTTCATCCCTCACTCATCTGCTTCTTACGACACCTCAGCTCCTTTGATGGCCATCGATCCTCAGGCACATCCTCCTTCAATGCAGAGCTTCCTCCCTCCCACCCCTGCAGCCGAGCCTCGCCCCAGGGGAGGCTCCTGTTCCCAGCTGGAGAGCCTGATGCAGAGCGCCTGGGCCCGGCATGGAGGAGTGCTGCCCGCCCCACCTGACATGAGCTACCACGAGTCTGTGCTGGCCATGCAGGCCACTCAAACCCCCATGGTACCAGTATGCACCATCACACACCCTATATACACAAGTATAGACCATCTCACACCCTCATAGTAGCAGTATAAACCATCACACACTTCCATGGTAGCAGTATACGCCATCACACACCCCCATGGTACCAGTACAGACATCACATAGGCACCCTGGGTCAGTGTGATGAGTGTGACATCTACTTTCTCATTATTCCTCTTGCCTGGTCAGAATCTTTGAAAACATATTGTAGAATAAAATCTATTAAACAATATATAGTAAATTGAATGTGTTTTGACCCAGGGTGATATTAGTATGTAGAGTATGCTCTCCTGTGTACTGTATCAACCCTGGACCCCCGCTGCAGCTTCTTGTGATTGTAACCCTCCCAAACCTTATATTTTATTTGTTTAAGTTTCAAAGACTGCTTTTTTTCAACAACAATCTGTGTAGACTCAACACACAGCACAAAAGCACTTACACTGACCAGTCTAAGTGTGTTTATGATAGTGCTGATGGCAGTCTTTGAGGCTGCTCTCCTTGTGTATGTTGTCCAAAGCCTGGGTAATAAGTAGTGTTTTGTGTATGTTCATATACAGACCTGTATATGAGTGTGTTCGTACAGTATGTTGTGTGCACAGTATACTGGACTTAGGACTTATTCAAATGCAACGTCTCTCAATTCACCTCGTATGAAGAACTGTGAGACTTAGCTGATTTGAATGCACGAACACTTGCATACAACAAAAGTAAAAAGAGCTTGGACAATAGTAAAGTGCAACTAGGCTGATTCCTTTCATTTTTTCATGTTGTATTCCTGTGCTATTTGTAATGTTTTCCTTAAGATAGTGTCATGCTATAATTTGTATTTATTTGTTTTGTAAGGCTTCAAAGGTCTGTAATAACACATTATCTTCAATTCCGACTTTGAAGCAATTGTTATTCTGTGTAATTAATCTGTGTCTAATATCGTTTGAATATATTTAATTTATTTATTTAGTGTCTCTTTACTTTCTACTATCCCAGTAGCTTTTATAGTTTGAATAATGTCAGCCGTTACTTTTTATATGTGCTATATTAAACCATAGGAAATCCCCAAATGAGTTTGCATGAAAACCCCAGCACTGACCCTGCTCCTATCCCCTGTGTGTGTATAGTATAGTATATAGTGTGTGTATCATGTAATATTTGTACTATATCTGTTCATGTGTGCATTTACAAGAAAACCAAGATGAACAGGCCTTGTATAGTCTGCTGTTGCGACACAGTAATATCCCATTAGCTATTGATCCTACATAATGTTGAAAGAAAATGAAAGAATTATTGTCGCTAAAAGGTTCTAAGGCATTGAAATAGACCTATGGGAACCCTGCACTCCTCCTAATTAAAATATTGATATCAAAAACATGAACGCAACACTTGTTTTTGCACCCATTTTTCAAGAGCTAAACTCAACTCACATATAGTCCATCAAATAGATCACTTTCTCTCAAAATATTCTCTCCCCTTAATGGCGGCGTGGAAAAGTGCATTGTTCAGTGACAGATTGACGGACTTAAGAAATGTATCTAATTGTGTGAAAAATGGGAAAAAGTGTGTTGCTTTTATATTGAGTCTTGTGCAGTGTAGTGTGCTGTATTTGCACCCATGATTCGGTCTGCCGTCATTCCTGAATTGGATATAAAAACTAATTGTGATCTCATTCTGTCTTTCTTCTCTCTCATGTCTCTCTCCATCTCTCCGGCTGTGTTCTATCTTCTGTTATCTCTTTGTCTGTTGAACAGCAGGTTCAAACCCCGACTCCACAGCAGACCTCAGGACCTCAGCTGGGACTGGCTGCAAACCAATCACACACAACATCACAGCAGGTAATCCCACATTTAGGATATTCAGTCCTGAATATTTAAGCATATTGACTCTGCTCCCTTGTGATGTACAAAGGATGTTTGTCTAATTTTAATGTAACATGGCCACAGACTGACACGCACATGGTAACAGCATGAGGATGCATTTCACATGTACATCATGTCATCAGCAAACAGTCTAGACTAGATTTTTTTCAAATGTTTGAGTCCAGTTTTGCTTATGTCCCCTACACACCACATCTGTCTGTTGGAGCAGAAAGGCTCCTGCAGAGGGTCACCAAGTGAATATGTGCTGCTATTGTAGGAGCCTGGTCTATGCACTCCGCACGCCAACACGGTTGGCTGGTAGTCGTCTGAGCAGTATTGTCCTCTATACCTTTCCATAGACTTCACATAGACACCAGCACTCGCACCCTGTGTGCACATGCTGCTTCCCACGAGAGTGCTCCCCGGGTGAGAGGCTCAGCTCTCACCCGGGGAGCACTCCATGTAACAATGCAACTTCACAGGACTATCCCCAGAAAGCAGAAACACAGCAACTGGTGTGAGTTACTGACCAGAGCAAAACCTCACCAAGACCACAGTGCATGCTTATGTAACCCACACACGACCCCCCGCACGGCACGAACAGCCTGAAGCTCCAGAGGTGTGCTTCTATGGCAAGGCACACCGGTTTTACGGTGGTGTTATTAGCCGCCGCAGCTGGTAAACAGACAGCAAGGGAGGGGGTGCCTTCACGGACCGTAGGAAACCCATTAGGAACCCGCCTGGTTACACTTAGGAGCAAAAATCAATTATGCAATAACTATCTTAAATGTTGCTCGTTTTCTGTTTTAGGTGATATCATCCACTCAATCGAGTAATGCATCAATTCAAAGCCCCACTCTCGCCCCCCAAACCCAGGTAGACACCTGCAATATTCTAAACATGTATTCATCTTTCTTGATCCTTTATGCTTTTGTTTCTATCAAACTGTGAACTTTTTCTGTTTGGCATGCCACCTTTACGTACCCCTGGTTTATTACTCTCACTTATTGGTCTAATCTTTTTATCATTTTTCCTGTTTTCATTGCACGCTGCCTGAATGTTTGTCTAAAGTTCTGTGAAATCAGTCCTTTTCCCAGCATGGAGCGCCTGTATCTGCTTTACCAAGCTGCTCAGCTCTCTGTAGTGCAGGTGAACATGAACATGAACATAGCAAAATGCGTGAAGAAAACAAATGAACTTCTAACTGCCAATGTATTAGAATTGATATTTCTCACTTCCGGTTAGTATTGGGCAAAACGCACAAAACACAAAAGGCACAATTAACAGGGACCTGCCTGAGGACCTTAGCGAGTGGGGTTTATAGGGGATGGGAAGATCATTCAAATAAATTGGTCAAGACCTAAACACACTTTAAAAGTAGCATCTTAAATTGATTTCTAAAACGCACGTTGGAGATAAGAAAAAGCAGGGGTGATGTGAATATTGTGATATTGATGTGAATAGGGTGGGGTACCTTTATAAAGGACTAGTGAAAAGCACTTCTGCTGCTGCAGTTGTGTGAAAATCAAATGCTCAAAGCAACCAGATGTGTTATTACATTTGCCAAAAGTGTGTTATACATTATATACAGCACAAACCAAAGGTTTGGACACCCTCACAGAAGGTGTGAGTAAGAGAATTTTCTGTTACAACCCGGTGTTGGACCCCAAAACAGAGACCGAGAGTTGCACTATTGACAAAAAGGTTATTTAATTTTCTGACAAAAAACTGAAGGGTAGACAGGCAGTGGAGACAGGAAGCTGGCTGGCAGGCGAGACTTGACCTGAGCACAGGGCAAAAAACTGTTAGATAAAGGTCAAAGGAAAGATAAGATAAGAGTTCCTTTATTCGTCCCACAGTGGGGAAATTTTGATGTTGCAGCGCACAGACAGTAAGAGCACACACAATATACAAAATAAGTAGTAGCTATGTTTCTTAACTAGCATAGTTAAGCATATGTAGTAGTGCAGAGTTATTTACAATCAATCGGCTCTTGCTATTACACCTATTGTTCTGTCATACATCATTTCAAAGCTCCTTCTGCTCAAAACAATGGTGTATCATTCTGCAGTGTGAAATGATGGAAAAGCCTTTGGTTCTGTTACTAGTTTTGAGACATACAGTGCCTTGCAAAATTATTCGGCCCCCTTGAACCTTTCAACATTTTGCCACATTTCAGGCTTCAAACATAAAGATATTAAATTTTAATTTTTTGTCATGAATCAACAACAAGTGGGACAGTTCATCCAGAGCGATCATGAGCCTCTTGGATGCATCTCTGATCAGTCTTCTCCTTGTTTGAGATGAAAGTTTGGATGGACGGCCGGGTCTTGGTAGATTTGCAGTGGTCTGATACTCCTTCCATTTCAATATAATTGCTTGCACAGTGCTCCTTGAGATGTTTAAAGCTTGGGAAATCTTTTTTTCATCTAAATCCGGCTTTAAACTTCTCGGTATCTCGGACCTGCCTGGTGTGTTCCTTTGTCTTCATGGTTCTCTCTGCGCTTTAAACAGAACCCTGAGACTATCAAAGAGCAGGTGCATTTATACGGAGACTTGATTACACACAGGTGCATTCTATTTATCATCATCAGTCATTTAGGACAACATTGGATCATTCAAAGATCCTCACTGAACTTCTGGAGTGAGTTTGCTGCACTGACTGTAAAGGGGCCGAATAATATTGCACGCCCCACTTTTCAGTTTTTTATTTGTTAAAAAAGTTTAAATTATCCAACAAATTTCATTCCACTTCACGATTGTACTAATACTTTCGCAAGGCGAATATATTGTACATATAGTGCAGGATAATAGGTAGATAAGTAAAGTGACATTGTTCAGAGGATTTTCTGAAGTTGCAGTATTGCACATTGCACATGATTTATGAATTTAGTTATTTACAGATGAATTAAATTTACAGGCTCAGCAGTTCTCATTGTACAGTCTGACAGCAGCAGGAAGGATAGACCTACGAAACCTCTCCCTCACACAGCGAGGATGAATTAGTCTGTCACTGAAACTGCTCTCCAGAGCAGAGAGAGTGTCCTGCAGGGGGTGACAGTCATGGTCCAGCATAGATGTTAGTTTGTCCAGGACCCTCCTGTTCCCCACCTGCTGCACTGTGTCCAGGGAACAGCCCAGGACTGAGCTGGACTTCCTGATGACCTTGTCCAGCTTCTTCTTGTCTCTCTCTGGGATGCTGCTGCTCCAGCAGACCACTAACCTTGCCTGCAAGCTGAATTCTCGCGGTATTTGTGAGTTCACAAACACTCGAGAATACATCTTGCCCCGCTCCCGCCAACCCTTTTTGAGTAGAACATCTAGGTGTTCAAGCCAATCCCGCGCCAGTCTGGGGGTTTAGGGCGGGATATCCGGGTTTGACGAAAGCAAGAAGTGCCGGGCCGAAGCAAAACAAACATGGCTACGCAGGAGGACGGACGCGTAGCTGAGGCTATCAAGTCAGTTTTAGCAGAATCTCCAATTTCTTTTTTGAAAGATGAACAGCGAGAGGCGCTTTGTGCATTTCTGGACGGCAAAGATGTTACCGGGATTGGTATAAGTCAAACCTTGGTAGGCGGGCACACAGCGTCACTTGCCCAATCAGCTTGAAGTATTCTGCTGCTTATCCCTCCTTTCCCCGAAAGGATTCTCCTGCAGAAGTCCCAGATTGATATTGTGGAGAACGCATTAGAGTTCTACACAATCATCAATCTGGCTCTTGCCAGGTTAGCAGACCACACCATACAAGATGGCTGATGCCACCACAAAGTCATAGAAGGTCTTCAGGAGTGGCCCCTGCCCTCCAAAAGACCTGAGCAAAAATATACGTTCAGACAAAGTTCTGACATGGGATTGTGTGTCAAAACTTTTGGTCAGTACTGTAAGGTATATGGTATTACTGTTTACTGGAATTACTGTTGCAAAGTTTGATGCAAAGGTTATTTTGAAGGCGCCACAAGGATCTATCTATTCAGCGAGTTAAAGACCGGTTTGAAACAAAGCAGAATAGAGTCATAAACTTACCCAATGTACACAAAGCCTGTTGTCTATTCTAACTCCAAAATATTGTGCTTGACGCTTTAGGCAGCTGAGGCTCAGTTGTAGAGCATTGGTCCGGAACCTTGAAATGACTAATAAAGGGGATAAAAATGACATGATATGACTTTGAGCTTTTAAGTTTTACACAATCCCGTTCCTCTGCAGCTCCTTTCCGTATAACCTTTTCTTCCCCATGCATTCTTTCCTTTCTTTTTCCTTTTCCTCTTTGCTTCCAGCCTCCTCCCGTCTCTGCACTCTCCTCTCTGCTTTCCATCACTGTTCCGCCGGCGGTGTTGGATCCCTCCCCTCCCTCTCCGTGCCCAAATGGGAGGGCCCTCCTCTCTCCCCCTCCTCCCCCTTCTGCGGTGCCCATCATCAGCGTAGAGCCCGCCCCCATCCACAGCCAAATGGACACGGTGCCGCAGGTATTCCAGCGCAACGAAACACTATGGCTGGAGATTAGAATTTGATTGAAAAAAAAAGCGGAATTTGTAACTTTTGGGTTAAATCAATCTATTTTGATAATCAAAACCACACCCTTAAAGGGTGTCACAGAATTGTTGATTTGAAGGCTCTGATCCACTAAACCTAATCCACTAAAAATCTAGGAAATCACACTTTTATTACCATTTTCAAATATTGTAAAATATAGCTATAATTTCAATAATTATTCAGCTTTGAGAAATCATATTTGATTAACCTCTTTTTAAAAATTGTGATGAATCAGATTAAACAAATGAATAATTTAACAATCCTAAATATACAATAATGGCGTCTTTTGCCTTACTTTGTTCTTTGAGGATGCCATAAGTAAAGACAATAGCAGTAAAAAGTGAATTATGATATTGATCATTTAGCTAGACAATGCACTAAAATGGGAATTATGCGATTGACATGACCCAAGCCACTTGCCTACAATAAATCTCCAACTTGAAACTGAAGAAATGGGAACACAAAATTTGCTCTGAAAAATACCTAATGTTGTCTTCTGCCCGCAGCCCACAGAGTTGTCCCAGTCACAACTTTTGCCGCCCCATGTCCAGGCATCCATTGAGAGGTAATCAAACACTTGCTGTGCTCTAACAATCAATGCAATTATTTATATAATCTGGTTTAGAAAAATGACAACCAATGTCTCTATTAAAGCTGGAGTGTATCACTTTCAAACTACAGAAATAGAACTACTGTAAACCACCCAAACTCTTTCTTGATCTGTAACAATGTGGTTATATCCTTAGTTTTTACATGCATGTATTTTTGGCCTCTGCCACAACTTTTGATTTGCAAGTATAAAAGAGAGGACCCCCCTCACACAGCCAATCAACTTTCAGCCCAAAGAGTCAAATAGTGACTCATGGGGCTTTTTTTTTTACGAGTATGCATGCTGTGGTCTATTTTGTTAAGATTTTTGTTTTGTTTAGGTTTGGTACCTTAGCTCTAAATGCCTCCTCAGTTCAGTCCCACAGGCTCAATTCTAAGCCAGCTCACAGCTTATTCATGAAACATGCAGTCATCACACAGAGCTTGGACTCTCCTGTCGCAAACGTCAGCCACTGTGCGTTTTTCTGAGCGCAGGATAAAAAACACATGGAACCAACAGTTTAGCAGGTGACCAATGCATGGCACCGGAAGTGGTCCTCATGGCCATGCGCCTGCGGTCGCAGCCTTGGTGACTCTTGGTCTAAAACAACATTGCTCAGCCAAACAGATTACATAACTAACACTAGCTAACCCACAGTCAATAGAATGTATAAGTAGGGAAACAAATTGAGTTAATCGAGAATGAAACCAAGGTTCTTCTATGTATGCAGTGGTCACTCTGAAGCGTCCGGTCTCAGTGATGGGAACGACGGAGGAGGACGTCACGAAGGCCGCTCCACCAAACGTTACCAGCGGCGCTCTGTTCGGAGCAGGTCCCGGAACGACAAGTTTTCCAAAGCAAAGCTCAACGTGCTCAGTGTAAAAGCCCTCATACACCCTTTCTGAGCAAATCATACATACTTTAGAGGTCACAGTTGTAATGTTATTTGCCCCTTGACTTGTATAATTGCTTTTTTTAACACAAAAATATTTATTCCCTCGACCCCGGACCAGGGGTTAACGACCACTGCTTTTACTGACTATAATGCTCTTTAATGACCTCTGCTTACTTCCAGTGCGTTGTACATTGCTGAGTAATATTTTGTCTCCAGATCTCGAACCGTGGGGACAGAGTGGCAGAGTGTCAGCTGGAGACACACAACAGGAAGATGGTGACGTTTCGCTTTGATCTGGACGGGGACAACCCAGAGGAGATTGCACAGATAATGGTACAAAGCCTCGAGCTCCTCAGTGATAACACTGAGTATGGGTGCATCTATTAGCATATACAGGAAATGACTACAGGACACATGTGTTCTGTGTTTTTGTGCTGTGTTTGGACGCTTTTGATTGGACAGAGGGCAGCAACTGGCAGCAGAAAACAGAAAGCAGATTAAACACAAGGATGTTCATGTCATGTTCAGCTGTTTCTCACAGAGAGCCTTTACTCCTATAATCTGTTTTTACAACAATCAAAAATCATGCAGCGGACACCTTCTTGGATTTGTACAAAGCAAAGGCTGCCCTTTCTACTGCTGAAATATATTTCAAAAAATTTATGCCTTTGTCATAAGACGTTGTAGACAGAGTTGTTTTCTGGCTTTTCAAACAAGTGCCTCCAAGTCAATTCATTTGGTCAAATGGCACTCTTTGCTATTGCATGTCTTAAAGCTGAGGTACCCAATTTTCCTAACACAATACATTCATGTAAAAACTGGTAATAATATCACATCTTTAGATGAACTTTTCCTGATATACACATTAAAAAGAGCCTTCCCACTAAGCACACATTGGCTCTCAGCTAAGTATGCAAAAAATAAGGCAGCTTTGTTCAGTTTACTCGCACTTTTGTTTTTGGCAAAAAAGATGGATTTTTCATGAAACAAAAAGGTTAAGTACGCCAGTTCTAGTCAAATACACTAAAATAAACAATAACAGTGCATCATACTTTTCCTTTTTGTTTAGCTAAAAAATGTGGAATAATTCAAATGTATCTCTGCAGGTGGAGAGTGAGTTCATCCTGGAGACTGAGCGAGACTCCTTCATGGAGCAGATCCGTGAGGTGATCCAGAACGCTGACAAGAAGGGCCCCAGCGGTCAGGTGAGCCTTCTCGCCATCTTTATCTGTGTGAAGGCTTTAGACAGTCTTTGGCTGCGGTCACATGCACAGCCTAAAGCCCAGTTAAAGTGGGCCTGAGCCCACTTCTCGATTTGAACCGGGCTTTAGGTGCTATGTGACCACGGCAAGTGGGCTTGGGCACAAGTGGGCACACGCGGCGCACACACACACACACACGTGCGCACACATGTTACCCACTGAACTGCTGCACTTTGCATCAGAGCAATGTGGACAAGTGTAAGCTCTGTCTTTTCCTAAACTACGCGATCCGTACTGAGCTGTTAGCTACAGTACCAGAATGTAAACAGGAAAAGAAACGGAAACTTAACTCGGACAACAAGGTAGTCGCTGGAGTTAGTATCAGCGCCACCAGCTGGACCGAGCGTTGTACTACAGCACAGTTGCTCTGGCACGGTTGCAAAAACACGTGCTTGTAACCGCGGGCCGTTTTCATACCCCTGTGGCAACGATCCGGGCCACTTGGCCTAGTTCGTTTGTAAAAACCTATATGACCGTGCCCTTTTAGAAGGCTTTAAAAGTCTTTATGGAGGCATTACAAAGTCTCTGTTGCTTTTCAGATGGTGGGCGACATGGAGCAGCAAGTTCCAGCCCTATCGGAGCACTTGAAAGGTAAACGTTGCACAAAGCCCATTATTGGACTCTGACCACTCAAACTGTAGCTTTTACTTATACTGAAACAAGAGCAAACAATGGTAGTCTCGCTTTAATGCAGACAAAACATACTAATTATAATAGTACTATAATATTACTAATACTAATTTATTTTTGGTAATTTTCTGTATTATGTATTTTGTATTTATTTTACCAGGAAGAGACTCAATAGCATCCTGGCCAAGTAGTAACAGGGGTTACGAATTAAAATAGAATAACATACAAAATAAAAATTAGTGATCCCCTTTGAAATAAACTAAAATGAAGTTGAATTAGTAAGTAAATTTACTTTTGAATATTCTAATATTCCGAGTTTCACTTGTATATCTGTCTGTTAGTCCTGTGAAATGATTTAACTGTTACAAAGAAAGCCTGATGTCTTTAAGTCTTAGTGAGTATGATTTATTCATGAAATCACCAGTTCCAATATCTGTGTTGTTTTTGCCTTAGACTCTCCTCCCAGTGCCAGTACTCAGGTGGTCCACTCAACAGGGAGGAAGTTCATCGTGAGCCCAGTCCCTGAGACCAGACTGAGGGAGCCGCTGTCCACCCCCACCTCCCCAGCTCCTGCCACGCCAGGCGAAATAACGGGTACACTGACAGCCGCAGCAGCTTCACAAACAGGCTAAAGAAGCACTCACTCTCGTCATGTTTTTCATAAAACATTGGTACCACTTTGCTTCTGTTAGATATTTCCCAGGATAAAGTTCTATAGAAACTACAGCTTTTCACAACTTTGTCCACGTTGTTAGTGTTTATCGATTCTATTTAAACACATTTTTATTGAAGCAATTCATGCATGTTACAGTCACGTGACACACAACCCTTTTGATACACAAATGACATGGCAATGTTGAGTAGGCATTTTGTCTTGTTCGGGGGAAAAAAGACTGCTGATTGCTTGATTCGTCTATAAAAATGCCTCTGCATTGGAACAACACCGAAAATGTTGGATCTAATTATTCGGTTTAAAATCTTTAAGAGATTTTTTATACAGAGATTATATTATTTTCAAATTGGTAACAGAGGTGATCTTGTGATGCAATATTCAATATGGGATAACAATTATTGAATGGTGGAACTTAAAACATAATCTGCATACATTTGAAAATTCATATATTTACATGTTTTGGGAAGATCATTTATGTACAGTGAGAAAAACAGAGGGCCAAGTATTGATCCTTGCGGCACACCGACTGAGACATCCATGATAGATGACTTTACACTGTCAATATGTACACATTGTTTTCTTGAAGCTAAATATGATTTAATCCATTGAATTCCAATTTACTTTTTACGTTTTCTATAATGAGGCTGTTTGCAGATTCAGCAGAAGGGTTTTCTCTACAACCAAATTGCATGGCATGTAAGCCAGAGGGACTAATGTACAGATGTTGATTTATTATATTTGCTACCCATCTCTCAACAACCTTGGAAACAACTGGAAGTAAACAAAATGGTTCATAATTGGATATATTCCATCTGTCACAAGATTTAAAGATTTGGGTGATTGTGGGCAGTTTCCAGGACGATGGAACGACTCTCTGAGTGATAAATTAAACATTTGTGTCCAGACCATGATTGTCTTTGGTTTATGGATGCTAACCCTAACCCTAGCCTTGTTATTTCTATGTAAACAAAAGACAGGCTATGTAAGACCAAGGGACCTTGTTTTGAAATCAGGGGGTGGAAATAACTCACTTATATCCCTAGCAGAGTTGACAAAATAGTTGTTAAATTCATTTGTCAGTATATCTGAGAAATGAATTTGTCATGTACATAAAATTCAATAGCAGAGCTGTAAAGCCAAATCAAATAATTTCAGAGTTATAAAAATGGACTGGGCCGATGGTAAAGTTTAATTAGAGAGATGTAAAAAATGATCTATGTATTTATCAAACTATTTCACTCTGCAGCATAAAGACATTTCCCATAGACCCATTACTTTAAAACATACAAACAGACAATAATAATCGAATTTCTCTTCCTGCAGTTTCTCCGGTGTCAGTGGTCCTCCCAGCTCAGCCCTCCACCTCGGCTGCAGGCCTCTCCCAGTCAGCTGGAGCAGTCAGTCTGCAGCAGGCCTTCAGCGAGCTCCGTCAGTCCACACAGTTGGACACCGGCCCTAGCACCGCTCCCGCTTCTATCACCTTCTCAACACCCTCGTTCCAGCCTCTATTCATTATCAACTCTGCCTCCGCTGCTTCTCCTATACCTCCTGCCATGTTCTGCACCAGTACTGCTGCAGTTCCCATTGCACAAGAGCTAGAAATACATATCCCAACCCCACACACCTCATCTGTTCCTGGCATTTGTCTTAGCCCGCCTTCTACGTCATCTCCACCTATCACTGAGCTGAGCCAAGTATGTCTCCAGCCGAGTCTCCAGCCGAGTCTCCAGCCAGGTCTTCAGCAGAGTCCCCAGCCAAGTTCCCAGCCAAAAGCGCAAATAGAAATCCAAAATATACCCCAAACACCAACTCAAACCGCGTCTCAATCCTTTGCTCCTATGTGTACATCGACAACCATGACTTGTGCATCATCCGCATCACCCGCAGTTGAAAATATCGAAGCAACGTTGCCTTCTTCTGCATCCAGCGATGTCTGTGTGGATGCTATTTCCAACTCTCCAACTAAGTCTTCTCCTTCGTCAACTCTATTGCCGACAGCAGCGCCTCTTTTGACCACCTCCGCTGCCCAATTGCCGCCTCCCTCAGCAGGGCAAGTGACCGCCGGAGTTCCCCAAGTGCAATCCACGCTGGTGCATACCCAACCGCAAACGTCCGCACTACCAGGGCAGACCCATGCACACTGCGGGGAATGCGAGACCAGAAGCGAAGTACCGATCGACGCGCAAGGAAAGCCAGACGATATCCAAGTGTTGGAGAAGAAGCTACGCTCGCTCTTCATGGATCTGGGAGGGGTGGGGTCTGCGCAGGGAGAGACGATTGGGGATTCTGTCTTTAGTCCATCGACGACAGGGACCTCCTCGCCGATCGGTCCAGGTGTGATGTCGACCTTACCTGGAGCGGTGCAAACGGTCAACCCAGTTCAGCCTCCTTCCAGTCTAGCTTTGGGGCAGATGGAGGCCAGTGTGCAGAGCCAGGGGGTTCCCGGGACACCTAGTACCTGTGTGCCTACTCAGTCTGGTGAGTACTACTGGTTTCTGGTTCCTGGCTATGTAAAGTGTAAATATAGGAAAACTATTATTTTGAGAATAGAGATCATTTTGATAATCGATTAGTTGGGAAATTATTCTTTTGTTGTTTTTAGCTCCAGCCTCTCTGTTGACCTGAGTGATGCACTTGGGACAGTCTCTTCTAATTTCCTCTGAATGAAATTTAGGTGTTATTTTTTATTAATGTAGGCGAGAAGAAAGAAACATTTTTTATTTCTTCAATCTTAGATTATTGTAACTCACTGTACTGTGGTCTGGACCTAAGCTCCTTTAAGCGCCTTCAGCAGGGGCAGAGCACATCACCCCCGTGCTGGCCTCACTTCACTGGCTCCCCGCCACATTCAGGGTTGTCTTTATGATCCGATGCTTGTTTTTAAATGTTTAAATGGTTTGGCCCCTGTATATCTGACAGAGCTTTTATCTGCATATGCCCCTGTCAGATCAGAGAGGTCAGAAAAACAGTTTTCATTCAAGACCGGGCCATTGCTGTTGCTTTCTGTTCTATTTTGTGCTTGTAAAGCACTTTGGGCAGCAGGTGTTGTAAATTGACCATTTCAACTCCTCTCTTACATGAAACTATTTTTCCCACAGTGAACCCTGCGTTGCCTTTTGGCCAGACCACTCCATCCAAAACCCCTGTATCCCGAGTGTCGGTAAGTCTGATATTTCACTTTGAATTTATTGAACTTATTTTATATTTCTGGTGACTGACAAGCATGTGATTTTCGGTTAATATTTTCTGCTTTTAACCGTGCACCTCCTCCTTCTTCATCACATCTTTCTGTGGGACTAGACCAGCTCCACTTCTTCAGATCTGCTGCCACCCTTCTCTGGACTAAACCAGGTCTTTGTTAATTCTTTGTCGTTATTTATTATTTTGGGGTTATGTCAAATTACTCCCATTACAAAAGTGTTTGCTCGACAAAAAGTCCATGATTAGAAATATTGTATATACTGTATGCTATGGCATGACCATTTTCTGCTTAGTAAAACAAAATTATTGCTTCACAACTGATTTTCTTCACAACTGTGTGCTTTCAATTAGACAATGCCATGTTGGATTAGAATGAAAACAAGAAATAATGTTATTTCCCACTTTGCAGTAAAGAAAATATGAAATACCAAAGAAAAGTTTTCACTACCACTACTACTACTACTACTATTGGTCTATTACTATTACTTATACTCTTATTCTATCATTTCTACTACTAGTCTACTTCTTAAACTATTAGTCCACTACTACTTCCACTACTACTTCTACTACTACTACTATTATTACTACTACTTCTTCCACTACTTTATTAGTAGTAATAGTATTATTTTACTACTACTACTACTATGAATGATGAGTGTCTGTCATTGTTCAGTCCCAGCAGCCTCTGGAGGACCTGGATGCCCAGTTAAGACGAGCCTTAAGCCCAGAGACGGTCCCCATCAGCCCACACGCACAGGTGAGCACCCCAGACAACAGTCGTCATATATATTATATACATACGATATTTTACATCACATTTACATATATTTATGTAATCTGTGTGTGTTCTTCCCAAGCTGCCACAAAGCACTGGAACTGAACTGCCAAGTAAGGTTTTTGTTTCCATTTTCCAATGTGAATATTTATCTTTACTATTTCAATTTGGCTTCATCTTTGTTTGTAGTTCCTTTTTCTTTGGAGGATGAAATGCGAGCTTGTCCGTCCCCAGCTCCTGCTCCCGTGTCTGCAGGAGAAATTCGACTTGGAAGATTTAAGGTAATGTTCAACAAAAAAATCAGTATAATGCATTTTCTATCCAACCATCCATCCATCCATTTTCTTCCCCTTAATCCATTTCTGGGTCGGAGGGGTGGCAGTCAGAGCTGCACCCAGTACACTTAGGTGGTGAGTCCACAGGAGCCTTGATCTTCCAGCGGGGTCTTCAGGCGAAGTGGGGTTAAGTGTCTTGCCCAAGGACACAATGACAGCAGACACCAGTGGGAGACGTGACCAATCGAGCCACTGTTTAGTTATATAATAAGGCATTTTCATTCATTTTCATTCATCTCAATATTGATATGAGATGGTTTGCTTAAAAACACTTAATAACAAAGGTGTAATGAATTAAATTCCATTCAATATATCCCAAAATGATAACAGCACTAATTTCAAGAGACTTCACAAAACTATTGATTTACCAACAGCAGATTAGAAAATCACACACAATTGGAACACACCAGGTGTTCAATGGCTTGCTTTTTTCATCACCCTGTGGGGAGTGATTTAAATGACTGGTACAGCAATTAGTGCAAATCACTTCTGACATTGGTCTGTGAAATTCGCTAAATAATTAAATATTTCTTACCTCCAAAAAATTTTATAATGAAACATAATAATTGGCCCTAAGGAAAATTGGCTAATTAATGTGGCTAAGTTTTATCTAGTAAACAGAAGGACATGTTATGTGCCTTTTAAGATATCTGTGATAATTGTTAATAAAGACAAAGATGAAGTTACTTAAAAATGGAAAACAAGTGTAATAGTTTAAAGCTTGAAAAAGTTGATCTGGCTCAGCTTTAACAATATGGCATACATTTTATGTACCCTGTGTCTCTTGTGTCTGCCAGGTCTCTGTGGCATCAGAAGAGCCCTCAGCACCTCCCCCCGTCTGCTTCTCCACATCCACCTCCTCCTCTTCCTCCTCCTCCTCTTCCTCCTCATCAAACCTGTCCAGCCCTGAGAGCACACTGCATAGGGCCGCTCTGTCCAGGCTCAGGCCTCCCCTGCTCCAGTCCGCAGATGCTGTGGACGGGCCGCCCCAGAAGACTCCATCACCCTTCACCTCTCCCTGTCCGTCCCCCAGGCCCACAGCCACCATCGGCCGCTTCCAGGTACTTTAAACCCAATTGAGCTGAGAAGGGCGGATGGAGGCTATGGACACTCCGTCAAGGGGTGGGCAGGGAGGGAATGTTTCATTGCATGAGCTTAGAACAAGTTATTTTGTACATTGTCACTCTGATCTTTCAATCAATCAATCAAATGTTATTTATAAAGCGCCTTTCATGCATGAGATGCAACACAAAGTGCATTACTGTTTAGTTAAAAACAATCCCACTGGCCCATGACCCCTCCTCTCAGCCACCCAACAGACCCGCCCCAAACCACATATTATTATTAACACCCACACACGAAGACGCGCACACACACACTCTCACACACGCCCACACATACACACACACCAGTAAAACAGTAAAACCATGAAGAAGGACTTGGTGCAGGGTGCGGATGTAACCAGCTGAAGAATCGCCATCCAAGGAGAAACCCGTATCAGTCTGGGTACCGCAAGTACATTTTCTTGTAGGAGAGGTGTAATTTACGATTGACCATAGCCGTTAATTAAGCGCTAATATGCGTCTGCATGTATGCAGCAATGGTTTTCATTCTTGCTCATGGCATTTATCCCGCGATAGAAGAAGGGAACACATGAAAAAGACGAATGCTTTTTACACAATGGTGTTGAATGATTATAGTCTGACTCTCGGCAGACCCTTGCTGATTCTCAATAGATGTATTACAGAAGGCGGGGCCCTGTAAAAAATCACTGTACAGTACAGACCAAAAGTTTGGACACACGCTCTCATTCAAAGAGTTTTGTTTATTTTCATGACTTTGAAAATTGTAGATTCACACTGAAGGCATTAAAACTATGAATTAACACATGTGGAATTATGTATGTTCTAAAAAAAAAAAAGCATGAAACAACTGAAAATATGTCTTATATTCTTGGTTCTTCAAAGTAGCACCTTTTGCACTGAAATGGTCTTCAAACAGTCCTGAAGGAGTTCCCAGAGATGCTTAGCACTTGTTGGACACCTTCACTCTGTGGTCCAGTTCACCCCAAAACCATCTGGATTGGGTTCAGGTCCGGTGACTGGAGGCCGGGTCATCTGGCCCAGCACCACCACTCTCCTTATTGTTCAAATAGCCCTTACACAGCCTGGGTGTGAATCTACAGTCAATAGTCATGAAAAGAAAGAAAACTCATTGAATGAGAAAGTGTGTCCAAACTTTTGGTCTGTACTGTTTGTGATCGGATAAACTACTTGTCCGTTATCTTAAATGACATGCTACTTCAACCACTCGCATCGAAGAACACGGCTCCTCGGTGCGTAGAGTGGATTGACAGGAGCAGTGTACTACTCAAACCAAACTTTACACAAAACTTGTATTCTTAAAACCCACATATCATATACCACTCATCAGTCCTGCTGGGTGGTCATGCTTGTTTGGCCTTGGCCCGGCTCTGTTTGCTTTCGTCAAACCCAGATATCCCACCCTAAACTTCAAGAATGGCCCATCATTGGTTAGAACAGTTGGATGTTCTACTCGAAAAGTGCTGGCGGGAGCGGTGCATGATGTATTCTTGTGTGTTTGTGAACTCACAAATACCGCGAGAATTCAGATTGCAGGAAAAGTTAGGATTTTGAGAAGTTGGTGCAAACCGACGTTAAACCGGCGATCCCAATGGGGTCATTATTTTTGCATTGCACTCGATCCCAGACCCTTGTGGGGAGCTCAGCGAAACTGCAGCTGAAGCAAACCAAGATGTTGTACATAAAGTTGTCCAACATGTGGAACTACAAGGGTCTGGCGAGAGTCTGGCTAAAATGATTCTTACCGTTTGTTTTCCTCAACTTCATGTGAAACTACGTCCAGGCTTGAAGAGATTGTAGCGCAGACAGTAGCATAGGGATTCCCCAAAAAGGGTATTTACATTTACACTACATTTAGGAATATCACTCTTGTTTGTCTTTGTTGTAATTAAGATTTTCAAATCCACAACCAAGACTAAGCCAAAGAACACAGCACAACCCTGTGTCCTGCAGTTTCTGTTTCTATTGAAGTCTATTGTGTCTCCAGGTCAGCAGCAGCAGCAGCCCAGGAGCTCGCGTGGGTCGCTTCTCGGTGAGCCGCGCCCAGGACCAGAGCCCTGATCCTCCTCCGCAGCCCCCCTCTTCACATGTTACTAACGGTCCCAGTGACCCCAGTCCTCAGACTGTACATCAAAGCCCGCTGTCCAGCCTCAACAACTCCTTCAACCACTCTTACCTGAGCAGCGATAACGACTCAGAGTTTGAGGATGAAGATTTTCAGCGAGAAGTCAATCGTCTGAGGGAGAAGTACGACTTACATTTTTATTTAAAGGGATAGTATGTAAGGAATTAAACCATTTGAACTTTGAATTTACCAATAACACAATGGATTAGAGCAGAGTATCTTTCCAAGCCGGCCCTTTTGGCCCCTTATCTAATGCTCCGTCCCATTAAACATCATTCTTGATGCTATTATATTTCCTTAATTGAAGCTGGAACAATGTATATAAATGGCGCCACCGCTGGCCAGGACTTCTGGTCTGAAGACCCCTGCGTCTGAAAATTAGAGAATGTGCGTCTGGTGCGCAAGGTTGACTATATCAGTATCAGAACTAGTATTGGTACTCACTCACATGTTCACAGTAGTCGTCGTAATAACTTTCTTTAACCAGCAAAAACTCCATGCAAAACCATCTTATGTCCATGATATTGTTACACACTGTTGTTTAAAGGGCCCATATCACGGTTTTTGACTTTTCTCTGCTTTAAACATGATTACAATGCTATTTGGCCTTCATACACAAGCCCACAGTAGTTTATTCATTGATTCTGTCAATCTTTTGTAAGAGAGCAATTTGTCTCCTTCCCCAGCGTGAGGCACAGAAACGCTCGGGTCCACTTCAGTGACGAAAACCACACTGATGACGCGCATGACCCCGTTTGCTTTGTATTTAAAATAGTTGTTAAATACTTTTGTCAAAACGGGGTAAACAATACACAATTAGTATGCTGTTTTTTGTCAAAAATAATAAAAATAAAAATAAATTAAAAGCCGGCGGGAGGTGATTGACGGATCAAAACAGCGAATCAGAGCGCACAGGCTCCGGCTCCCGAGTCCAGCGTCTGTGGTCTGGTCTCGCGGACACCACATAGAGCTGCTGTTTTTATGCTTTTGTCAGCAACTAAAAGTGTTAGGATCACGTCAACTTGAATGAAGTGTGTTATGGGTGTAAATATGTGACACACTATTTGGCCCTAAGAGGAAGAAAGCGGCTCGACTTTTTTCATCTGTTCATCTCATGGATCTATTATGATACCGGTTCATCTGCGACACTTCACTCAGACTGTTCCAGAACTACAGGGACAATGGAACTGGACTTACTCAAAAGCTGATCTGGAAACACGTTATTCCCACGGTAAAAGACGTAACTCGGACCCCCTCGATCTGTAAGTAGTGACGCTAACTCGCTGTATACTTCTGTAAACTAAATAACTAGGGTCTGATTGTGCATCGAGGACATAGGGCTCGATGTGACGGATTGTCATTGTTGGAAAAAGTTTATTTTCTTACGACTGAGAGCTTACACAAATTTATTTTCTTATGTATGAAATTGCTAAGTACAGGTGATAAACGACAAAAGCGTGATGCTACGTCACCGTGCGGGCGGGGGGAGGCGGGCTCACAGGCAGAAGAGCAGACTCTTCTCTGGATCAGCTCGTTTGAGTCGAGGTGACGTCACCTCTATACAAGAGATGGCTCTAATCTCACAAGGTTTGATTGTTGTGTGGTGTATCATACCATTAATATCACACATGTGCATAGGATTAAGTGTGAAACATGAAGAAAAGTGTGATATAGGACCTTTAAGAACTCTTTATTTTCAAATGCAAGGCCTCATTTGAATACAGACATATTTCTTTTATAATATTGTTTTAGATCACATTGTTAATATATGTATATATACAGTATATATATATATATATATGTATATGTATATATATATATATGTATATGTATATATATATATATATATATAATACATACATTATATATATATATATATAATGTATGTATGTATGTATGTATATATATGTATATACAGTGGGTTTGTGTAAGCTCTCAGTCGTACAGGGATTAGTCAAAGCAAAGGAAGTTTTCTCACCCATCATATGTACTTCTTAGCAAGTTTTCCCGACGTTTCGTCCTCAACCTAGCGGACTTCTTCAGGGAATGAATTCTCGGACCGCGCGTTGGAGACTTATAACCTATGGGTGTGGTTAGCCACACCCTAATCCTGATACTAACTCATAAACAATCTACGGTCTGCTTGATGTAGAAGGGAGCAGGTCTAACGACCCTGCTGAGGCTAACGACCCTAACTCCTTAGCATGTCACAGACCTATTGTCTGCTGGGATGCTCAAGTGGAGTGCAGGTCTCACCCCTCCTAAAAACAACGCCCTAACTTGGGACAAGGTCAGTGACATGGTAATGAGTTAGGAGGGGTGAGACCTGCACTCCACTTGAGCATCCCAGCAGACAATAGGTCTGTGACAGGCTAAGGAGTTAGGGTCGTTAGCCTCAGCAGGGTCGTTAGACCTGCTCCCTTCTACATCAAGCAGACCGTAGATTGTTTATGAGTTAGTATCAGGATTAGGGTGTGGCTAACCACACCCATAGGTTATAAATCTCCAACGCGCGGTCCGAGAATTCATTCCCTGAAGAAGTCCGCTAGGTTGAGGACGAAACGTCGGGAAAACTTGCTAAGAAGTACAGATGATGGGTGAGAAACCTTCCTTTGCTATATACAGTGGGGCAAAAAGTATTTAGTCAGCCACCGATTGTACAAGTTCTCCCACTTAAAATAATGACAGAGGTCTGTAATTTTCATCATAGGTACACTTCAACTGTGAGAGACAGAGTGTGAAAAGAAAATCAGGGAATTCACATTTTAGGATTTTTAAAGAGACCTGTAACTTCTTCTTTAAGAAGCTCTTCTGTTCTCCACTCGTTACCTGTATTAATGGCACCTTTTTGAACTCGTTATCTGTATAAAAGACATCTGTCCACAGCCTCAAACAGTCAGACTCCAAACTCCACTATGGCCAAGACCAAAGAGCTGTCAAAGGACACCAGGAAATGAATTGTAGACCTGCACCAGACTGGGAAGAGTGAATCTACAATAGGCAAGCAGCTTGGTGTGAATAAATCAACTGTGGGAGAAATTATCAGAAAATGGAAGACATACAAGACCACTGATAATCTCCCTCGATCACAAGATCTAATCCCATGGGGTCAAAATGATTATGTGAATGGTGATCAAAAATCCCAGAACCACACGGGGGGGCCTGGTGAATGACCTGCAGAGAGCTGGGACCAAAGTAACAAAGGTTACCATCAGTAACACACTACGACGACAGGGAATCAAATCCTGCAGTGCCAGACGTGTCCCCCTGCTGAAGCCAGTGCATGTCCAGGTCTGTCTGAAGTTTGCCAGAGAGCACATGGATGATACAGCAGAGGATTGGGAGAATGTCATGTGGTCAGATGAAACCAAAGTAGAACTGTTTGGTATAAACTCAACTCGTCGTGTTTGGAGGAAGAAGAATACTGAGTTGCATCCCAAGAACAACACCTACTGTGAAGCATGGGGGTGGAAACGTCTTGCTTTGGGGTTGTTTTTCTGCTAAGGGGACAGGACGACTTATCCGTGTTTAGGAAAGAATGAATGGGGCCATGTATCGTGAGATTTTGAGCCAAAACCTCCTTCCATCAGTGAGAGCTTTGAAGATGAAACGTGGCTGGGTCTTCCAGCATGACAATGATCCCAAACACACCGCCCGGGCAACGAAGGAGTGGCTCCGTAAGAAGCATTTGAAAGTCCTGGAGTGGCCTAGCCAGTCTCCAGACCTCAACCCCATTGAAAATCTGTGGAGGGAGTTGAAAGTCTGTTCACTGCTCTCGAGAAGATCTGCATGGAGGAATGTGCCAAAATACCAGCTACTGTGTGTGCAAACCTGGTAAAGACCTATAGTAATCGTTTGACCTCTGTTATTGCCAACAAAGGTTATGTTACAAAGTATTGAGTTGAATTTTTGTTATTGACCAAATACTTATTTTCCATCATAATTTACAAATAAATTCTTTAAAAATCCTACAATGTGAATTCCTGGATTTTCTTTTCACATTCTGTCTATCACAGTTGAAGTGTACCTATGATGAAAATTACAGACCTCTGCCATTATTTTAAGTGAGAGAACTTGCACAATCGGTGGCTGACTAAATACTTTTTTGCCCCACTGTATATATATATATATATATATATATATATATATATATATATATCCTGTGGACTCACCACTTGCAGGAGGATCAGTGAGGGGCTGGTGGTAAGTGTACTGGGTGCAGCTCTGACTGCCACCCCCCCGACCCAGAAATGGATTAAGGGGAAGAAAATGGATGGATGGATATATATATATATATATATATATATATATATATATATATAGGTTGAGGTTGGGCTTATGCTAAGTTAGCACAAAAGCTAAATAGCTTTCATCCATTGTCCTAAGGCAGGTAGAAAAAATAAACAAACACACAATTATGCAACATATTGTTTGTCTATTGTCTACTACTGTAAAAAATGAACACTTTCTAGTAATGTTTTGCTCCTCCAGGCACATGTTGGAGATCCAGGCCCTTCACTCGCGACAGAAAGGGGAAATCGAAGGCCTGTTTGCTCGACTCGGAAAGGTACGTATATCATAGTTGTTTAATACCAGGCCTGATTTGAAAAAGCACAGTGTCAAGCGTGTTTACTCCTCCTGGTTCCTCAGGTTCCTCCAACCACAGTTCTACCTCCTGCTGCGGCACTGTCAGGCCGGAGGAGGAGGCCGACCAAAAGTAAATCTTCCAAATCCTCCAGAGCAAGCTCCACGCATGGAAGCAGGAGCCCACTACCACAAGGTACGCCAATGCCATGACCGGCTGGAATGAACCAGTATTTTATTTTTATTTTTTTTACATCTGAGTTTAGATCGCAAAGATCAGTGAATATTGGATTTTTCTAAATTCAACCAAAACAAAGCTCAAGTGAAGTGATGCCCCTAGAGAACATCTTCTGAGAGATGCCTTTTTACACATTGGGTTTATTGATTAACGATATATTATTTCATTCTGCATCATTAAACCTCTTCTCAGCATGTTTGAGTTTATGAACACTGCAAAAAATATCAAATGACATGATATCGAAACATGATTTGCAGATGGGACAAGAACTTTAATCTTATTTCTTGTTAAGGCCCTTGAGCTGTGGTCTCAAACATTCAGCCCTGTTGACCCCTGAATGCATAAGAAATAATTCAAAGTACAATACAAAGCCTCATTGCTTTTCTTCCAGTTCTGTTTCAATCCAAGCAGCTGGACTCGTGCTGGTCATAGAAATACTGTATGTAAGAATAATATCAAACTCATATTCAATATAAGTAATGACCTCATGAATATAAAGGTACAAATAATGAACCATGACTTTCCACAAACGCTTGATTCTTGGTTTACCTGTTGTTGTCACCAAACATTTACTTCTCTACAGTTAATAATAAAGAATGAGAAGATGCACAGTTTGAAATGCAGCAGCTTATTATATTTATCCAGAAACTAAACCGAGCAAAGTAAAATAACGTGTACAATTCATTGTCTCTTTGCTTTGATGTTCATATATTTTGCACACACACAAACACATGATAAATATACCCCTTAATGTGGCCAGCTTTACCCAGACGCGACCTCATGCAGCCCCCAGACAACTGAGGTTGAGACCCCTGTATTTGTTTAGTTTTTTATTAATATAGGATTTTGTGTATTAACAAACAGTAATGCTGTAAATACACCATATTGTAGCTAATTCCATCTGTAGTCCCATCATTCGCTATCACAAACACATTCACCCTGAACTATTGTACATGGTTTTAGTGGTAGGAAACCTACCCAGACACATGGAGAACATGCAAACTCCACACAGAAAGGTGGTGGGATTGAACCCAGGGCCTTGGTGCACAAGTTCTGTGCAATTAAATAAATAAACAAACAAACTCAACTCATTAGGAGAGAATATTCTTGATCTTTCCTGTCTCTTTTAAAACAACACAGAGTTGTTTGTGCCATTAGCAAATCTTGTTTTAACATATGTGCATGCATACATACATTTTTGTCTAATTCAAGCAAATATTTTTTCTTGGGTCACTTTTTGCAGTGTACAGTTCAAATGCAATTAATCAATTACAGACTTTTTTGCAAACTTTCTAAATACTTGAACTTGTTCCAGCCCTATGTCCGTGTTTAGAGTGTAAAAGATGTGGTGGAAAGTGGATGTACCAGAAAACATAATAATTCCGCTGTTTGTGCCTTGGTGTGCACTCAGTGCTTTTTGCTGCCGGTTATGTTCATGTTGTGTAATTTTAAACCTCAAACCAGGATGGAGGGCAGAGATATAAAATATTACATCCTCATAGGAGAGATGGATAATGTTTCACAGCCTAAAAAATACAACACAATATACTTGTCTATCCCTTAGATTGATAGGACGCCTTTCAAGCAGGGCTCTTTTACAGGGTCTTAAAATAGTTTTAAAGGTATTGAATTTATTTATTTGAAAATAGTACCTCAAAGTGAAAGTCAGTTTCTTTTCAAAGATAGAGTGAAACCTTTTGAAGACAAGCTCTGGTTAGACTTGCCTATGCTCACTCCCACAACCTCAAATCGGTCAAATTCAAATCCTTGAGGCCCCTCGTCATTAGTGTAATTATTCTCTTTCATCAAATCTTACTGTTATGGTCAGAAATGCTTTCTTTTCAATAGAAAATACAATTTAAGTAAAAAATGCTATCTTCCTTTAACTCCCTATGCTACCACCAGACGGAGGAATTTTTAGTTTTCAAAATTCTAAGCTTCAAACATAAAAATTTCATCTGAAAAATTACTAAAAACGAATTAATGGGCAATACATTTGCTTTTAAAGGCAGAAAACAGAGTGGCGTCACAGTGGTACAATGTGATCATACTACTTCAGGACTGAGACAGGACAGAAGGGACAGGCTTTGTTTTCCACAAGTACCTGATACTAGAGTGGATGAATCTAAAAACAACTTCTGTTGAGGAACCATATTGTTAAAACAAGTTGATTTTGCATTATGCATTTATTATAAAATGGCTGCTTCCAGGGACACAGAGCTCATACAGTGTAAAGCAAATGTAGATAATACTAATATACATGAATTGCTGTGATTCATGCGTCTCTCTGCTGCCCTCCATCTCTCCCTAATCCCTCCATGACATGAATACAACCTTTTCCACGCACTTGTCCTGTGCATGTGGCACCCCCCCAGCTCGCCCTGTGTGTGTGTGGGCCTCATGTTGTCCTGTGTCCTCTCCTCTGCCCTTCTGCCACGCGTGCCCTGCAGGAAGCACTTTATCTGCCCAGAGCGCGCCCACCATGTACCCGGGCCAGCTGCCTCTCCTGTCCCAGCCAGGGCTCTCCGAGGGCGGGGTGCGGCCTCTCAAGTCCTCCCACTCCAGCGACATCCTGTGCTCGGCCTACACCAGTGAAGCCGCGCTGTCCGTGCCCGGCCTGTGCGCGCCCACGCCAGGTACGACTGCGCATTCACACTCTTTATTTTTAAGAAAAAATATGATACAATATACACATTTCATGTTCTTAAAGCTGGAGTATTTAAGTTGTTTTGGTTTAATAAAAAATACATTGTTGTTTGTCCCAACAGAAAGGATTATCTGGCTGAAATCAGAGGCCAAAAATACATACATTTGAAAACTATAGTAATGAAACTGTTTCGAGAGCAGGCACATGTTCTTTGTTTTTTTCTTTTTTAGAAAATTGGGTACCCCAGCTTTTAGTAGAAATTATATGAAAAAGAACTGAAAGATTGAGAGATGACTAGAAAGAACAACTCTTTTGCACATTCTGCTAAACAAATGTAACATGTGACCTTTTTGAAGACCTCTTGGATGAACCTAATGTATTTTAAATGAAGAGTAACAATAACAATACATGTTCAAAATAATTATACAGTTCTTCATTCTGCAAGAAACTATGAAACTTTGCTTAAAGTGAAAACATTAGTCTCATAACATGTAGTAAGCTAATTACTAAGTGGAATTCCTATTATCATTAACAAAACTAGTGCTGCAATATCTAGAAATCCCAATTGGTACAAAACTACAAAACAGCCCCAAAAGCATTCTTTAGATAATTACACAAGCCCTTTACAAACAGCGCACACAGAAACAGTTTTGAATCCGAATCATGCCCAGCTCTGTGTTGTACATATAAGCAGTAACATCTGTAACACCAGTATTTAGTGTGGTTTGAACTTAGAAGGATCCTCTCTGGAGCAGAGGGAGGGGTCAACGCAGCTACTGTTAACTCAGTCATCAGAAAAGCGAATGCATTTCTTTGCACATACAACAGTATAAATGCTGATACCACCATGGGTGCATTTACAATGTACAAGTGAAAACCGAATCTTTCACCTACTCCAATTTCATTCGAAAGACAAAGACAATCCATGTCCATTCCGAGGTGCTAGTGCAGGCATTGGTAATCTTTTCCCTTTGAGGGTCACATTGGAATATCAGCCTGCTGTTGGGGGCCCAACCTAATCTTCAATGTTTTTCCTCAGTTTTCATTTTTTACAAACACATCTAGAGCTTTGTATGCAGCACAAAGGGTTTTATATTTTATCTATATAAACTGAGGAAGGCAGAAACGTTCAAAGGGCCGTATCTGGCCCACAGGCCAGGCTTTTCCTACCACTGTGCTACTGCGTGCCTATTCTAATGCAGTGGAGCGTGCATGCATCCCTCTAAACCGGATTGGAAAGAGCAGCCCATCTAGGTTTTACACCCGGACCCTGGAAGGATCATCTCCAGTGTGACAAGACATGTCTCCAGGTAGATGTGTGTGTCTGTAAAGATAGATACTTTATTGATCCCCGTAGAATCAATAAAGTATCTATCTAGCAGCAAAAAAATAAAAAAATGTATCAGTATAATCAATACTAATTCGATCTATAATAATAATAGTATTAATCATCCACAGGCCTTCAGGTCACAGCAGCAGAGATGGAGTGGTCTCTGGGTGGAGCAGGACGGTCACAAGGTGTTGCCGCTTGGTTTGGACAATTTTTTCTGCTCTAGTCCAAAGTAAAATGCTTCATTAGCATTTTTCAAAAAATTAGGCATTCCTCCAGTGGATTTTCACCTGATCCACTTGGTTTGGACCATGAATCCTCTCCGCTCCGGTCTGGACCAGTGTAAAACCATGAACACTACTGCAGAAACATCTCAGGCAGAAAAAAGCAAGACAAATAAAAATCATAAAGCACAAAACAACTGTTTCAGAGCTACTTAGGACTTGCAGCCGTTTTCCAGCACATTCAAAAGAAAAGGGCTCAAGTGGGTTAAGTGTAGAGCTGAAACAACTAATCGATTTAATCGATTAAAATCGATTATTAAAATAGTTGTCAACTAATTTAGTCATCGATTAGTTGCTAAATAACTTTTATTTTGCCGTAAGCGGCTCATTTCGTGCATATTTTAACTCTGCGGTGACCAAATGGTGGCAGTAATGAGCCACCGGAGGTTTTACAGCAGGAGAAGTAGCGAATAGCCAATAGCTGGCCTCCTTTTATGTCACATGCTTCGCGCACAGCTTCTCTTCAGCATACAGCAAGATGGCGGAGGCAAGCGGAGTAAGCTCGAGAAAAAAAAGGAAAAAAGCAGAAGACAAACCTAATCGAACGAAGTCATCCAAAGTGTGGGAGCACTTTACTTTGAACCTTCAAAAAAGAAGAGTAACCTGTAAACTCTGCGCTACTGACTTGGCCTGGCACGGGAGTACTACGTCTCTGCGTGAGCACCTTAAACCATCTCTCTGCAGTACTGACTGTTTGCAAAAGATGGCGCCACACTCACTGTTTTAGGCATAAAGTTGATCTTTCAAATAATTTGCACAAAGATGTAAAAAAAAACATTTATCAGTTTATCAACTTAAATAAGCCTTGTTCGGGATTTTAAACTACTTCAGAAGCCCTAAGGATTTTCATGGTGAAAACATTATTGGAAATCTCCTTGTGAAATTTGCTAGAGTATGTAACGGTCAGTGTTTTGTTTTGATGGTCAACATTGAGTTCACTAAAGGATTACAAAGACATAATAAACAGCTCCAGTTAAGTTTTTGATGTGGATATGAATATGTAAAATGGTTAAAATCTCTAAAAAGTCTATGTTGAATGATGAAGGCCCTTTGTTAACAATTTACTTGGAAAAAAATTGGCAAAACTAAAATATAAGTACATAAACCGATTAATCGATTAATCGTAAAAATAATCGCCTGATTAATCGATTATCTAAATAATCGTTAGTTGCAGCCCTAGTTAAGTGAAGTCCTTTTTTATATAATTAAGTCTTCAACAACAGCCTAAAATGCTACCACTGCCAGATAATTTAGTTTCGATTAATACACCAATACAAAACCAAACTCTTCATGTTCGCCGCTCATTAAAACAATTGCATGTGTTCAGTGTTGGCTCAAACTGACAGTATCTCTGTGTTCTTATCTCTGACGTCTTCCTTTACATCACCTCACTCTTTCTCTGTCTCCATGCCTCTGTATGTTCATGGAGTCTGGTTACAAGCTGCAGAGTTCCTATTTTTACACCATTAGCGTAATTAAAGGTCTTTTTAATGGTTACATCACAATTGTTATAATTATAACAAATGATCGCCTAAATCAGGAGTGGCCAACCCGCAGCTCGTGAGCCTCATGGGGCTCTTTGGCTGGTTCCATGTGGCTCTCGGGCTCTCGCGCATCAAAAAACGCCTCGGTTGTGGTGCTGCCATTCATTCCCTTTGTGGTAAGCTGACCCAAGTAGTAAGGGTCGACTCGACTCGAATCCACTCTCCCCAGTTTTTTTGTAACGGCTTGGCCCTGGTTCTAGCCGGGCCGAGTAGATACCAAAATAATCAGATGTTGGCGAACGTCAATTCTGATTGGTCAGAGGCGCTGTCAATCCCTCTTCAGCTGCTGCGAAAATCATAACAAACAACACGTTGCCTCGACCCATAAAGATGTCCGAACGGAAAACAATTCCATTGGGAGCTGGATAAGATTCCTCAGTTTGAGGAGAGGACACCAGCGTGAGCTTGATGGTGCCACCAGAAACCAGAAGGTGTTTGTGGAGGTAGCACCAAGGATGAAGGAGAATGGATATCACGGACATCATCACAGAGCAGAGAAAATTTAAGAAGCTTAAAAGTGACTATCGTGAAATGAAATATCACAACAGCTGAAACAAAGTGGGCAGAACCGAAAAGTCTGGAGGTGGTTTGACCAAATGGACATTAGCTAACACCAGCTAAAACGCTAACACCAGCTACACCAGCAGAGAAGCCTCAACTCTGCTTTGTCCCAGATGTTGAGTTTGAGAGAAATGATGAGTGTCTGTCTTCAATCAAATGAAAAAGTATCTGGTCTTATACGGAACATGTCTCTTATACGTCTCTGTGGTTCCATCTATATCTTTTACTAAACGTAGGTAGAGAGTGAATAATGGATTCAGGGTTCAATAAAAACAGTCGTTGTGTTATCTGCTAAATGATGGGTTGAAACTCGAAAACAAAATTCTTTGTTAGAGATGAAAAGCAATCATTTGACATTCGCCAATATCAGATTATTTTGGTATCTACTCGGCCCGGCTAGAACCAGGGCCAAAACACAACACATTTGAGCATGTGGACTAACCAGAGTTTTGATTATATTATGGGAAAATCTATTGATTGAATGCTTTAATTATAAATACAAACATATCTATCTAGTACATGGGTGTCAAAGTCGAGGCCCAGGGGCCAGATCTGGCCCGCCAGACAATTTTTAGTGGCCCCTTATTATTAACTTGCAGCATTGATGGTAGTGGGTGACCAAGGAAGGTTATAGATCATCTATTTTCTCAGGAAAACTACCAAATTTGATTAATTAGAACATTTTAACCCACATCACAACATATTAACTCATCATTAGAAGTTAAATAGTTCAATATAAACTTCCCACTGAGCATTTTTCCATCACTGAGTGATAAAAGTTACCCTGATGCATAGGAATAGTGTCATACTCAGGACTAGGCTCCAAAGCAGGATCCTGCAGCTGTATCATTCTCCCTGCTCCCCCTCCTCATGCATCTGGTCTCACTCCTGTCTCTTCAGGCTGTGTAAAGTTCCACTGGGGCTCGGAGCGCGTGGCCTTGAAGCCGGCTGGCCGCAGGACCCGCTTTCTCAGTACGCCCTGCTTGGCTCTTTGTGTGTACCGCTTATTTTTGCTCTACTGTTATTTTCCATGTGATTAGCTAAAGGTCAACCATGTCACTCTGCCCGGACCTGCTTGTGTCTATGGAGATGCTCTGGCTTCATTGGTTGATTCAGGTTTATACAGTATACATATCTGCATATTTGACATTGTAGTGACCTGGTGGCTGTAAGAGTGGGTGCAAGGTGTTTTTACATTTTCATGGCTGTGTCTACTGTGCTCCAGGATCAATTGTTTGGTAAGTTTTCTGTTGTGGGGGTCCTTCAGCAGAGAAAACCTTACAATCGATTGGTCCTATAGCCTCCTGGAGACCACTGTGATGGAAAGTAAAGGTACCAAGCTGAGCACTGAAATACAGCTGCTGGGTCAAATAGTCAAACTCAAGCTAGACTGATTCATGTTTTTAATTTATTATTACTAATATTTTTTTGGTCTCAGTGTTAAGAGCAATATAAATGATGCTCTTCCCAATGGAATTAGGTTTTCACTCATGGCACATGGCCAATTCCTTTCCTTTACACAGATCAATTGTTCTGGTTCTTTTACAGAAAAACAGCCCCAAAGCATGATGTTTCCACCCCCATGCGTCATTGTACATCTATAGTGTTCTTTGGATGCAGCTCTGCAATATTTCTCCTCCAAACACAACAAGTGGAGTTTTTATCAGAGAGTTCAATCAGGTTTAATATAACTATAGGACATTCTCCCAATCTTCTTCTGGATCATCCAAATTCTCTCTAGCAAAGTGCTTAATCAGCCTGACAGTGCATCCAAAGTACACTGTACCATAATTAACTGAAATCCAGTACAAAGAAGCTAAAATAGGACTATCGTGCTCACAGCTGAATTTTGGACTAAATGTCAGCAGGAAAGTATGTGGTGGCTAATCCCAGATAAAAGTGCATTGCAGTAGTCTACACAAAAGGAAATAAAAGAATGCACATTCATTTAAGTATGAGGCGACTGGGCGGTCTGGTACATGGCCTCAAAATGCAGTGTTTTGTTCAGAGAGTGAAAAGCTACTGCAGAACATTAGAAAAACAGGTTAGGAGCAAGTCCAGATATGTTTGTGACCATGGATTAAAACAAGGTTTCAAAGCTCAGTAATGGATGATGTGTCCTTAAACATAACATTGTGGAACCTCCCAGAAAAAGCAAATGCATCTCCATGGAAACAAGAAAATGGGAATTGCAAATGTTACATGGTGGACTTTTAAGGACTGGGCTGAGGTTTCTTCTCACAATAGTCTTGTGTTTCAGAACAAATGATTTCATACAATTCAGCAGATCTGCATTACACCGTAACCTTTCAGTTGACTCCAATAGCCCTTTGACATATCTGGTTATAGAACATTGCATCTGCACGTTTACTATTATGGAAAGGTTAAAGTAAAGTCTCTTTCCTGATCATTCCCCCAATATTTTGAAATTGTCTGGCTCCTCTGCAGCTCAGACCACCACTTTCCCTTCTATTTGTGTCATGACTTTGTCCAGTGTCCTACATCTGCAGCCCCTGTCACCGGGCCCAGAGGAGGACAGGGGGGATGGGACTTGTGCTTCACATAAGAACACATATTATAATGCATTATTTGTTATCATTTTAGGCTTTCTTTTATTCAAAAAAATTCAAGAATAAGCCTGCACTATTGTTTGTGAGTGTGTAAAGACACATCAATCATCAGGTGGCAGGAAAAACTCATCTTTGTTTAAATGATGTTCTTCCCTCCCCCTCCCGCCGGTGTCAGTTGGCGCCTCCCGGGCTGAAAAGCAAGGGTGGGGGGGGGGGGGGTCCCCCCACCAACGGTCCCATTTCCACACCCCCCCTAAAGCCCTGGGACATCCAACAAAAAAATAAAATGAGGGGTATAGAAAGTTTAAAATCCCATTAACTAAATGAATAAAAAATATAAAAAATTTAATAACAACTTAAAAAAATTAACTTATATGTTTTGTTTTAAAAAAAAAAAATTAATTATTTGAAATAATTAATTAAAACAACTAAATAATATTAAATAATTAAAAAAACCCAACGGTGGGGGTGTCCCAGCCCCAAAAGGTTTATTGTAATGTAAAACCCCTTCTTGACTTACACACCCCTAACCAATAATATTTAAAAGTCCATAAATCCGGGGGGGGGGGGTAGGTATAATGTGGGGTGGGGGGGGGCCCCCAAATTTTACTGTTGTATAATGGTAATGACCCGGAAACATAAAAAAAAAAATCAAAGTGTGACCCCCCAAAAAAACCCAGTACCATTCCTCCCCCCCCCCATTGACCCCTTCCACAAATGGGTAATGGTGTACACCCCTAATAAAATGAATAGCAACACCCAGGGTAACCCCTAAGAAAAATTTCCCATAAAGGCGATAAACACCCCCCCCCCCCCCACAAATTAAGGTAAAAAAAAAAAAAAAAAAAAAACCAAAAAAACCTTTAAGTGTTGTGGGTTTTGTTAGGGGTCCACTTCCCACCACCTACTGCTGCCGAAGTGGGAGAAACTGGGATAAAAGTGAATATTACGGTCAACCCTGGCCCAATGTCTTTGGGCGTTCCAACCGTGCCCCAGGGAGGCTATCCACCCCCCCGGCCAGTTTCCCTTTCAACCCTGGGGACAAACATCCCCTTTCGGGAAAAAAACTATGCCTCGAACAGATCTCCCGAAAAAGGGCCACCGGTTTTTGCCCACCCACTGTCCCCCTCCATGTCCCGGCCACCCCACACCCTCACCCCTGCCTCCTCCTGCCCCCTCCCACATCCTGCCTAACCCTCCCCTTCAAACCGGGGGGCCCTTCCCCACCCTACTTCCAAATCCCCCTCCCCTGGCCCCCGTCCACCACCCTCCACTGGCACCCTTCAAAACCTCACTGCACCCCCTCCCCCTTCCCTCCTGGACACTAAAACCCCTTACCCCTGGCCCTCCCCCCTATGGCACCTCCCCTCCTCCTGACCTCCATGCACAAACCCCTCGACCCTCCACCTCCTGCCCCACCCTGCTGTCCCCCCCCCGCTGCCGCTTCTGGAGTCCGGGGAATGACGGCCACCAAGGGGCTGGGCTGGAGAATGGGAGACCTCTCCCGGGGGGGGGACCTCAAAAAACCTGGGAGGCCTGGGAAACCCCCACGCTGGGGGAGGGATAAGGGCCCCAGGCCGCCTGGGGGGGCCTTCCCTGGGAAACGATGGGTAAACCCCACCAGAGAAGGCCGGGCATCCCACCCTTCGCCACTCTGCCGCGCCCCCTCCCACTCCTTCCCTTACACCCCACGGGGACCCGGGCTGCCCCGGGCCCCCGGGGCCCCGGGGGGGGGATCCAACGGGGTGGGGAAAGTGAACCCCGTGGAATAGGAGGAAAACCCCGGAAGGCCCCTCCCCACCACGGGGGGCTTGGGGGGGAAAAACCCACCACTCCAAGCATAAAATGACCACCCCCTTGGGCCCCCCCCCTGCTGCTGGGGCCCCCACCTCGGGCACCCACGAAAATGAGCGGACGCACAGGGCCCGGTCACCCCGGGGGGGGGGGGCACCCAAAAAATTTCCCCCCCCCCACAAAACAACCAAACACCCAACCTAAGAAAAACCACCACATACCATACCCCCAACTCCAACCCAAAAAAAACCCTGAAAGCTTCACCCCCCCCACCCGGGGAAAGCCTGGAATTCCTCATCTTTTCCCCCGCTTGGTTAATACGGTTTTCCACTTCCAATCCCCCCCGGCCTGTCCCACCCAATATCCCCTTATGATCTGTAAAATTATTTCTAAATCACCAACCATTCCCCAAGCAGGGTATGTTTGCATTGATTCTCATTATGTTAAAAGTAATCCTCCCCACCCTAATCCCAACTCCCCCCCCACTGCCTGAAGGTAAATCCCCCCCCCAACACAGTTTTTTACTACCCCTGGATTGGGTTGAAAATCTGTCCAATTGTCCCCCAGTTTTGGGTTATGTGGGGCTGTTTTTTGGGATAACACCGAAGCCCCCACCCACCCTCCCCCTGTTAAAGCTGGGAAACCTAAACCCTTTTTTTTTGGTTTGGGGTCCACACCCCACACCCATGTCCCATGTTAGATAAAAGCAAGATTCTAAAAAAAAACAGTCCCCCACCCTGGGACGGGTTCTTAATTCCCTATCCAACCCCTAAAGAAGCATGTTTTATTTTTGAATTTTTTTCCATAAGTTTTGGATTCTTTGGTGGGGTAGGGAGAGATGATCGGCCTTCAGACAATCTTTCATCTTTTCTGTCTCATACAGATTACTGATTAGATGGGGCTTTTTGCCCGCTTACCACATCTTTATAGTTCTGTATAACTTGCATTGTGAAAAACTAGGATTAAGAATAAATCAACATACCTCTTATCAGTTATGAGTTGTGGTTTTGAAGTTGGTTGTCCACAAAGAACTCTCTGACCTGATCTGTTTTTAGGTGACTATCAAATCCAGTTTCTCTTTGGTGTTACCCTTTACCGATATCCATAATTCCCCCTAAATGCTAACCCAAAGGTTTTTGGGGGGTAGGTTTTTTTATTCCCCCCCCTATGAAAAAAACCTTCCCTATAAAGGAAAGGGGCCCCCCCCAACGTTTTTCAATAAATATATTTAAGCGTAGAAGGGCGCCCTACCTGGGGTTAAAAAATGGGGTGGGTAAATAAAAAATTTGTTAGGGGGAAAAACCCACTGGGGGGGGGGGGCCCCCCATTGGGGGGCTTTGTGAAATAGAACGCGGGGGACCCTCCCCCATTGGGGTGGATGGTTGGGAAAATAAACCTGGAAATTACTTATGGTAGAATAAAGGAGTGGAACCCTAAAGAAAATAAATAAACTTTGGTCTTTGGGGTTCCACAAGGGGGGTCCCCCTTAAAATGCCCCCCAAAATGGGAAGATCGGGAAAGGTGGGGGCTGTTTGAGTATGCCGGGTCGCCATGTGGCGGGCCTTTTTAAAAATTTATAAGTTTAATATAAAGGGGTGGGGGTGTATTCCCCCCTCCCCCCAAAAAATTAGGCCAAAAAAAAAATGCATCAGAATTAATATCAAGTTGGAAATTCCCCCCCTGTAAGATGTTAGATGGGGAATTATACGTCATAAATCCCAAATCATTGGGAATTAAAATTGTGGTAATACATGGTTTAAAGGGCCAATTATGTATGGTACCACATTTTTGCAGTGCTAAGGGGGCCCGTCAAAGGTTTTCCCCCCAAACCTAAGAAGGGCGCAGAACCAATTTAAAAAAATTTGAAATGGCCCCGAAAAGGGTAAGTAAAAGATGCCCAAAATACTGTTTGGGGGTTGGGTTTAAACAATTTCCCCCCTACTTTCGTCCTCCCGGCCTCAGTTTGAACTCACGTCCAACTCTGGGTCATTGTAAACTTCCAAGTTATTGCATTTGGAGGTAAGGCCTGTGCAGGGGTGACTTATGTACTGGTATATATTACATTCAGGATCATACCTCTATAATGGTCCAAAAAAGCATTGAGATAATGTATGGTAACTTAAAACACAATCTGGCTCTGTTCCTTAAGAAAAAAAAGCTGTTTTTTATCCCCCACCCCTGGACCATCCTCCCTGAATAAAAGGGAAAGTTTCCCCTTGGGCTAACCCTTTCCCAATATGGGAAAGTTGTGGAATAAAAATATCCGTATGGGTAAAAATGTATTGTAATCACCCCCTGGGAAGGGTTGTAATTTCAAAATAAAAATTAAAAATTAAAAACCCCCCGGAATTTATTAATTTATAAGTGGGAATCCAGGACCATATTGTTTTAATCCCCCATTAAGTGCATCCCGAAAAGGGCCGATATTAAATAAATATTGTTTGGTATTCCAATACCTGTGGGGTAAAAAGCCCGCCCCGCCCGTTTTTTCAGTTCTGTTTAATTAATTTTCCCATATATTCTATATGGGCCCTAATAAATCATTTTAATGGGTTCACCCCCCTTGCCCCCTTTCCCACCTTCACCCCTCACTTCCCCAGTATGACCTTTGGGGTTGGGGGGGGGTAAATTCTAAAAGTAGTTAAAATTCCAACCATGATCAAAAAATGGGGGGCCAAAGTTCCAAAGTTTTTTAAATCCCCAAATAAGTACGTTGCAACCACTGTTAATATGATGGGAAATTGTGCGGGTAAAGGTGTTACCTAAGGTTTCTATGGGTGTTAAATGGACCCTGATAAAATAAAACCCCCTAACATTCCAAGCATATTGGAAATCCCAATAATACCCAACATCTTCAGACCAGGTAAGGTATTTTTTTTAAAAAAAAAACATAAAAATTAAAAAAAAATCTCCCCCAAAAGCGGTACCAGTCTCCTGGAATACCCACCCAATAATTCTCCTTAGGGGGGAAAAAATGGGGGGGTCCCCCATATGGAAAAAGGACAGACGCTAACCACCCATTTGGGGCCCAAAGAACTTTTCCCCCAAAGATAATAAGTTAGTGTAAGGAAAGCCCATCTGGGGAAAAAATCCTTTTACAAAATCCGGGTGCCCCAGGTTAATCGCCCTTATAATATATATTGCCCCCTGTAAAATTTTTCCCCACCCCCCCCCTGCATTCACGAATTTTCCTTCTGTTTTGGGGACCATTTAAATATTTAAAATTAATTAAAAAAAATCCCCCTTTTGCCTTATTCCGTACCCCTACCAGGGTTATTTGCCAACGACAACGCAGGTAAATAGGTCATGGATCCTCCCTCTCCCAAACCACATCAACCCCGGAAAGGAAGGGGGGGGGAAGGGGGGAATTAAAGGTTAATGGGTTAATGTAGATGTGGACCTATTTACCTGGTTGAAAAGGCCTATTCCGTCCTGGTGGAATAAGAAAAAATAAAGGGTAAAAATATTCAACGGGGGTCCGAATCAAAAGGAGGGGGAAAAATTCCATGGCGAAACTACAGGCAGTATTAAGACTAACCTGGTCAACGTTTTGAAAAGTTCAGAATGGCTCTATATAAACGTATATCTTTTGTGGAACGTCTGCCAAATGTAGCGATGTATTTCATTGGACATTCACAATAGAGATTTGCGTGTTCAGAGATGTCGCTGGGTTTAAAAAAATACCTCTGATGAAGTGTTTTGGTCATGCCTGAATGTAGTTATTCAGTGTCATTTAAATACTGTACACGTACGCACACTCCATCATTACAGTGTTGCAAAAGTACTGGATAAAACTGTGAACTTTTTCCCATTTGTCATGTGATAAATACTTTATGAATACCACGACAAAGTAACGGAGAGGTGTGAAAAGGGCAAGCAACATTAACTTGAGATTGGGGCCCAATATTTGACAACAATAAGTAAACACCAGAACTGAATAAAAAAAAAAGCGGGCTTACACCCAGTATTCCTTACAACTTTTTAGCTGAAAATATGCACCCTTAAATTGGGAAATAAAAAAAATAGGTCTGGGGCCGAAATTTAAAAAATCCCCCCTAAACTATCCCATAAATAAGAAGATTATAAACACCTCCCGGATAAACCCAATACCAACTAAACATTACGGTGACCCTAATATACAAGGAATTGGCCCCCCTAAGGAACTCCTACCCCCCTCTAAAGGAATTCCCCACCACCCCACACGGGGGAGTAAAACCATTTTTTTAAAAATAATAAAGGATAAAAGTGGCAGTGTTAATGTTACTTTAATAAAAATAAATTCTTCCTAAGCTTGGAATCCATTAAATTAATGTTGGGGGATTCATGATGATTTGTATATTATTACATAGCAATAAAATCCCCCATGACCCAGGCTCTCCTCCCCACCAAATATGCCATTATAAATCCTGTATTGTGCTTAAAATAATGGGGGGGGTACACAGAGTATTTGTAAGTGAGTTCACCACCCAAACTCCCAGGAGCCGAGAACACCCCGACAAAAATAAAAGAATTGGGTAATAAAAAATTGGTAAAAACAAAAAATCCCTCCAGAACATGAATTTTTGCCCCCAATACCTTCCGCCATCCCAATAAATTGGTCGCTCCTAAGGTGGAAAATTAATTAAAACTTAAAATAATAAACCCCCCCTCTCTTGCAAAAAGATGATTACATTACCATGACACCAACATGGGTATAAACCACAATATAAATAAAAATCATTGTGGGGGATTATGGTGGGGAACCTCTGGGTTAAATAACAATCCCCCGATTACCCCATATACTTTCCAAGGAAAATTCAACTGTTTTTTTTAAAATTTTTATAATATGCACTTATTTGAATAAAAACCAACCCCCAACTAAACTAAAAATTAAAGCCGCAAGCGACCGTTACCTCCCCCCCTCAAGGGGGAACTTTCCCCCCACCTTCCCCGCCCTCCCCTACATATTGGAAACCAAATTCTATATGGTGGCACCCCTGTAATATCGCCCAAACAAGTATTTTGTCAACCTGACTGGGGTAAAATCCCAGTATTCCACCCCCTAAATCACCCCAAAATCCCAAAAACACAATGGTGAAGGCGGCTAACCTTCAACACAAAGCCCAAAAAATGGTATCCCCCCCCCCCAATATTCCCTTTCCCAATGGGGGGGTAAATTTTAACTATTGGAAAACGGTTTGGGGCCCTTCCTTTGAAAGGTTTAGAAAATAATTAAAAACTAAAAATCCCATGTGCCAATTGGGAATTATGGGGTACCCGGTAAAAGAAACACCCCAAGAGAGAAACTGGATTTTGTAAAAGTACAAACCCCCCTCAAAAAAATAAAAAACCCCAGATCAAGGGTCCAAGAAGGACGTTCCCTTTGTGGGGGAACCTCCAAAAAAAACCTCCAAAACCTCCAACTCCCATTAAATTAACTGTTAAGCAAGACTCCATGTTTTGGGGGATCTTTTAATCTTAGATTCCCACGTGACTTTTACCAAACCCAATGGACAAGGGAATTCCCAGGAAAACCATATTAAATAATGTCGTGGTATCTGAGGGCCCAATAATACAACAACGTGGGTACCACCCATCATACATTCAACGTAAATCCCTTTTGAGTACTCGAAAAGATAAAAGAATTGTACCCCCCTGAAAAGCCCCAAGGAATATTTCCATCCTACCTCCCCCTTCACCCCCACTAAGATAATCATTTTTTAATATGAAAAAAAAAATAAAAAATAAAAAAAAATTACAAAATGATCTAGGGGGGTGGGAAATGGGATAGGCTACGGTTCCCCCCCCCCCACTTAACCTTGATTTTCTAAAAAACCCGTAATTGGGTGGGGGGGGGTACTAAAATCCAAAAATAGGGTTATGGGTATAGCCCCCCCCCAGCCCTTTAAACTGGTAACCTCAGTCCAAAAAAAAAAAACCATAAAAAGGCCCCAAATTATTAACTTAAAGGTAACAATATAAAGGGGATAACCCAATCATCTCCTTCTAGGAAAGTAAAAACCCAGTGTGGATTTCTTTTTCTGCTGGAAAGTGATAAGGTTTTTACGTTAAAAATTAAAAATATGGGATAATATGCTAATATACCAATAATCCAACCTGCTGGGGGAATACTTGTGGGATGTGATATTTAACCAAGCACTAAAGGGGATGTGGACAACGGGGGGCGATACCCTGGTTACAAGGGCGGGAAAAATGGGAGATAAAATACCCCCCCCAACTGTCCCCCGGAAGCTGACCCAGTGTTGGTTTGTGGGGTCCCCGGGTTGGTGGGGGGGTCCCCCACCCCCTGGGGTTTTGTGGGTTGGTTGGGGAAACATGGCGGAAAATCGGGGGCCCCCCTCCAAGGGTCGCTCATCGCAGCAACCTAGACCAAAAAACTCCCCCCCAATGGGGGTGGTCCCCCCCCAGCCCCCCCGGGGAGCCCCCCAGTTAACTCCTACCACCACCGGGTCCCACACAAACTCCCCCCCCCCCCCCCCCCGGTGTCCCCCCCCCCCCCCCCGCCTCTGGGGGCCTGGGCCAGCGGACCATGCGCCCCTTTGGGGGGGAAAACCTCAGGGGGCAACACAGGGGGGTGAAATGGGGGGGGGGGGGGGGGGGGGGGGGGGGGGGGGGGGAATGTGCCGGGGGGGCCCAGAAGGGGGGGAAGTAGGGTGAATAAAAAGCCCCCCTGGTGTCACATCCCTCCCCCCCCCCCCCCCCACCCTCACCCCCTCCCCCCAGGTCCCATGCCCCCACCCCGGGGCCCGTCACAGGGGCCCTCTACCCCCACTCCAGCGCTCCACCTCCCCCCCCATATTTTAAAAGGGTCCCCACAGGAGCTCGCTCCCCCCCCCCACCATTCCCCCCCCCCCCCCCCCGATCCCCCCTAGCTAGGCACGCCCCCCCCCATGGGCACCGTCCCCTACCCCCCCCAAGGGGAACCTCCCCCCCCCCAATAAATCCACGGCATATCCCGGGGGGGTAAAAGGGGACCTTAGCCATGGGGGGGGGCAGAGGAGGGGAAGTGCAGTGAGGCTGGTACCCACGCCCCCAAGAGGAGGGAAGATGCCCCAGAGTCCCCAGGAAGGGTCCTCACAGAGGGGAGGGGGAAGGTGGCCCAGAGTGCAGGAGTGCAGGGGATAAGTTGGTGGGGCCAAGGGAAGGTGGGGGGGCCAATAAGGGAGGTTAAGCCCACCGGGGGGGGGGGGGGGGGGGGGTGTGAAGGGAGGTGGACAAGGCGGTGAAAAAAAATAGGGGGGGATGGTGGCAGAGGGGAGAGGGGGAAGGGGCTAAGGAAAGGGGTAAATGGTAGGGGTGCCTCCCAGTGGGGGCAAGGTGGGGGGGGGGCCACAGGTGACAATAAACCGGGGTGCCTTTTCGGGGGGGGGGAAATCACCTGTTTCAGGAAGGTCCCTTGGTTCGGAAACCGGGATGTGGTCCCCCAGGTGAAAAAGAAAACCAGGCGAAATCCCCCCCTGAATACGGGTGGGAACCCGCCCCAAAAACGACATGGCAGACGTAAAAAATACCCCCCCACAACCATCCCCCTCCCGCCCACACACACTCCCCCCCTTACTTCGGCCAGACACAAGTTGATGATAAGAAAAACCAAAAAAATAATAAATTTTATGAACCTTACAATATAATTTTTTTGGGGGGTGCCCACCGGACACCCTTTTGGGGGGAGGGACAAAAAAAAATCATTTTTTGGGGATTTTACTGGGGTGTGTTGCTTTAGGCCCGGGCCCCAAACTTACTTTGAAAGTTGGGGGGGAGGAAATGGGGGAACACTGTTTTTTGGGGCAACTGGGGGGGGGGGGGAATGTTTTTATAAAAAAATGGGGGTTCCCCCCGGGTCAATCTAATCAACCTAGGTAAAAAAAAATGGGGGGGCCCACCCCCCCCCTGACCACCAATTTGTCCCTAATCAGGTTTGCCCCCTTTATAATGGGAGGGGGGAGGGAGGGGGTCCCCACAATATAGGGTTTTACAAATTAACCCATAACTAAACATGGTTGTGGGACTCCCGAAAACGGGTTTTTCAATCATCCAGAAATATTACCCCCCCCATTTAAAATCATATAAATTAAAAAAATTAAAAAAAAATAACATAATGATATTAGAAATATTGGGTTATTTAAATATTTAAGGTTTAAATACATTTCATGGAAATCTTCCCACCCCCCATAATTTAAAATTTTGTTTTGGTTCCCCCCAGGTTTTGGGGGGAGGGGAAAGGAACCGTTGGGGTGGTAAATGGTTAATCCAAACGCCCCCACGAGAAACGGTAAATATGGGGAAACTCCCCATTCCTGCTTTCCACATAAACTAGCCCCCTGCGCCCCCCCCCGTTGGGTAATATAGCTTCCAGATTAGGGGTAATTAAGGAAAAACCCACATGAAAAATAAAAATGTGTAAAAAAAATACCTTTTTTTTATGTTGTTGTTAATTCCTGAAGAATTATTATCTAAAGTACCCATATAAAAAAAACCCACCCTAAGTTTAAGTTGTTACTATCAAAGGCCCTGGGGGTAAGTGGTTGGTGGATGTGTGTATAAAATCTATGGTTGTGTAAAGCCCCAAAGGGGGGGGGGGTTTGGTAATTGTTTTTTCCTTTTTCCCCTGGGGTTATTCATAATAGGCATCTGGAATCTTTTTAAAAATAAGTAAACAAAAATAAAAAAAACACAAAAAATAAAACAATTAATTCCACTAAAAAAAAACGTTTGCCCCCTCTTTGGCACCCCCCTTAGGGGGGGGGGTGGGGTCACGGTCTAGTCCTTGTTGGGGCTGAGCCTCTAGGGAAGCCCTGACACCCCCGAAAATGCAAGAGACAACTGGAAAACTAATCACCCCCCCACCTTCTCCACGAGGCAGGCTAAATCCAGAAATAAGGGGGCCATGATTAATGGAATATGTCTTTGGCCTAATTGGGGGAAAATTAATTTAAATGTTCCAAATCAATTCTTTGGTTGGGAAAATAAAACCCATGATGTAATACACTGCTCAAAAGGAAAGAACATGAAATTTAAAAATACATCCACAGTAGATGGGGGCGTGTTCCTGTTGTTTTTTCTAAGTAAGTCCTCCGTATTCCCCCACCTCTAATAAACGGGGGCCCTGTGTACCCACAATCCCCACCAAACCTGTAAAAGAAAAAATAAAAAGGTCCTCCAAAAAAGGCCGCCCCTTAAAAAACGAAAAGGTTGTTGGGGGAATAACTTGTTTTGGGGTTTGTTCCGTCCATACCTCCCCCCCACGAACAGTAGAGATGAAAGACGAAGGGTCCCCCACCAAAAACTACAACGTCATTGCCACAATGGGGCCCCCCACCCAAAGAAAAACCTAATCCCCGGGTGCATGGGTATAGTGGGTAGGGGAAAAATTTTTGGGCCGCACTTGGAGAAATAAAACCTACCCCACAGAACCACGGGGGGGAGATACAATATCAAACTTCCCATAATACCCTATACCTTCACAAACCCATAACATACATGTATTTTGTTACTGACATGAGATTGTTTTTCTATGGCAGTACTTCCAATTTATTTTAATATTGTGTTGTTTTTGATCAAAAAGTTTAGGATTAAATCCCCTCCCCCGGTGACCCCGGGTTTAACCGGTGGTTGACCCGGTCAAAATAACATGTTTTAATCTATGTTATTATTTACTGGGTCCCCCCCGGTTTTAAGTGCCAGATACTGGCTCTTCCACGGACCTCTATGGTAAATATGCCATCCTTGTTTGTCATATATTTATTTCCATTTTAACACCCATTTTTCAGAATATATGCATAATTTTTGCCGTTAGTTTCCGGAAAAAAATTGGGGGGGTGGGGATTTAATTTGGGGGGGGCGATTAAGTATTGTTTTTTTAAAGCTGTAAATTTGAAAACTCCCTGTATATTATATAAAATTTTAATGGGTTTGACACCACATAAATAAAAAACCTTTAACCAACCATTGGGTATGGTACCCCTAGAAATGGGGGGGGTGACACCACCCCTATACCCCCCGCCCCCCCAAAAAGGTTTCCCCCTTTGAGTTGACCTAACAAAGGGGTGGGCCACCCCCCAAATCTACACCAATTTAAAAAGACCATGATAGAAACACTCATGAAGCACCAATGGTATAACCGGTTGGGAGCATATGTGGAATCCCTTCCCCCCTAGTGGAAATGACGGCCACCTGATTTTTCTCCCACCCCCCCCCACCCCGGCCTCCCTTGTAATACTGAATGAAAGGCCCCGGTAAGTAGGGCCATAATTGAAAATCAGGTTTATAAACAGTTGTCGAAAAAAATAAAATGTAATAATAAATACCCACCGTAATTATAACACTCTTTGTATTATATAAAATAATAAATTGTTTCACCCTAATTTTTGACGGTAACCTCCCCTCTGCCCCCTACTTCCGACTATATCTACCCCAACTTTGTAATTTTAAGAATCAAAAAAGAGGGGGAAATAAGTTAAAAAATGCAAAATTAATTTAAGGGAGAACTGGGGCAACCCCCCCCCCCACTTTAAAAGCTCTCTGAGGGATAACCCTAAACAGATAATAAATAAATATTTGGTAAATGCCCCCCTGTATGGGAACAGTCTGATACATGGACGGGCTGGTCAGGTGGGTTCGCTTGATGCCCTGGGACTGAGAGAGAAAAAATAACTCTAAAAGGGGGGGGAATTACCCAAAAACTGGGGGGGGGACCCCAAACTGTGCACATACGGTTTCAAAGGGGTACGAAAATTCCCCCCCAAAAAAAAATCAGAGGGTAATAAATTGTGGGGGTGTAAATTAAGTAAAAATTTAAGTTATGAATAATATGCTCAACACCGCATATAAATAAAAAATGGCAAATAAAAATTACCAAATAAAATTGGAACCCGAATCCGTTAAAAAAGGTGAATTTTTGGGGGGGGTAATAGAAATGGGTGTTAGGGAAAAATAGCTGTTCTAGGTTTCCCTTCCTTACTAGTTCTTGCCCCCCCCAGGCCCATGTTGGGGGGGGGGCTTTAAATAGGAAATGAAAACCAAATAAAAAGTTAAAAAAATAAAATTAAACATGTTAGAAAAAAAATGGTATGGGGGTAATGGAAATAGTTAATTTCAATGGGTTACGTCATGGATCTGGTTGTTTGATATATACTAAAAGAAGACTAATATAAAATATAATCTGGGAATACTGGTAAAATAAAAATAAATTAAAGTTTTTTTCAAATAATACCTATTAACCTTACCCAAAGGGAACCAATCAAGGAGCGGCCGCCTGGGGTCCCTTTTCCTGCGAGGCCAAGGGGGAAAAAGCCATAATTGTGGCACAGAGCGGTACCAGATTGGTCCAGTTTCATTCCCCATAACTTATCAGGGATCCATAACAGGGAGTGGTCAATAGGAACCCATATGGCTTAGCTATGAATCTTGCAAAATGCCAAGGGGTTGGGAAAAATACAAAAAAATTAAATTTCCCCCTGGCACTTTAAAACCAATAATGGAATTATGGGGGGGCCTCCCTTTTTTTGTTTTATGATAATAATATGAATTCCCACCCCTTTTTGGAAAATATTGGGGTCCCACCTGGTAAAAACTCCCTTGGGTGGGGCCTGTTTAAGCCCCTCACTGGTCCCCCCCAAACCCCCCTCCTTTTAGTCCACCCACTAGCATGAACCAACATTTTTTTTACCTGGGTGTGGGGGTTGGGCCAACAGCCAAAACTCCCATTGGGCACAAAAAAATACAAAATAACATTAAACAAAGTTTCCCCATACCGGTGGCCCTTGTCCTTCTCCTTCCCCCCCCAGTTTGTTATGGATTTGATAAAATGGCCAAATGCCTGGCCCCAAAAGATAAAAAAAGTAAGTCCCTAATTCTCATTACTAAACATTCTAAGTGATTGTAATACCAGCATGCCAAAGACCCCCCACCCCACTCTATTGCCCCCCCACCCCAAAAGGCCGTCCCAAGCAAGAAATTAATCCTTTCATTACAAAGGCACCAGCCCTTAAAGTAATCCCCCTCCAAAGGCCCCCCATGGGCAAAATCAAACCATTTAAACATTCTTTGGAAAAATATAGAATGGGAATCCTGAGAAATGTTTACCCCTATGTCCCCCCCAAGAGTTTTAAAGGAAAAGTTGCACCCCCCCAATGTAGGCCTCCGAGTATTGAGATGGGGGGGAATAATACCCAAAGTGCTTATCCAATATTAGGCCTAAATTAGGTTGATCCACCCAATCCCCCCTCCA